TTTTCGGTCTAGCTCTATCACCCCGCACATTCACGAAGTGTGTAGACGCAGCTCTGGCCCTGCCAGGCTGCAGTGTATACGCATTCTGAATTGCATAGATGACTGGCTGATTCTAGCGGAATCAGAACAGTTACCGGTTCGGCACCGAGGTGTCGTTCTCGCTCATATGCAGATGTTGGGGTTGAGGCTCAATGCCAAGAAGAGTGTGCTTTCTCCAGTACAGAGAACCACTTTCCTTGGTGTGGTATGGGATTCAGTGACGATGCGGGCCACTCTGTCGCCCGTTCGTGTAGCTGCTATCCTAACAGCCACAAAAGAGCTGAGGCTAGGCCAGTCACGCACTGTAAAACAGTTCGAGAGACTGTTGGGTCTTGTGGCAGTAGTGTCCAACGGGATACCTTTTGGCCTGCTGTACATGAGACCTTTGCAGTGGTGGCTCAGGACCAGAGGGTTCTCCCCGAGGGGAAACCCTCTTCGTATGATCAAGATCACGCGGCGGTGCCTTCGTGCCTTGGTTATATGGAGGAAACACTGGTTCTTAACCCAGGGTCCGGTGTTGGGAGCTCTTTGCCATCGAGTTGCTATCTCGACAGATGCTTCCCTCACCGGCTGGGGAGCGGTATTGGAAGGCCGCTCAGCTCAGGGCTTGGGAGGAGTCATCATCTCGCTTGGCACATGAATTGCCTAGAGATGATGGTCGTCTTCAATGCGTTGAGACATCTCCTCCCAGACCTGAGGGGCCATCATGTGTTGTTCTGAAACAGTGACTGTTAGGCCTCAGGGCAGCAGCGTTCAATATGATACCCTTTGACCTGCTGTACGTGAGACCTTTACAGTGGTGGCTCAGGACCAGAGGGTTCTCCCTGAGGGGAAACCCACTCCGTACGATCAAGATCAGGCGGCAGTATCCCCGCGCCTTGGTTATATGGAGGAAACTCTGGTTCTTGACCCACAGACGGTGGCCTATTATTTTGGTCCCTCAGGAAATTACGCTGTCTGAGGGCAGTGTCTATTCCAGGGGGGCCAGAATATTGGAGCAGACACCCTGTCGAGGCAGGGGCTGAGGTCAGGGGACTCCACCCTGAGGCGGTGGAGCAAATATGGGAGTTTTATGGCTAGGCAGAAGTGGATTTGTTCTCGTCTCAGCATACGACACACTGTCCACTCTGGTTATCCCTCACTCAACCAGTCCCCTCGGGGCTGGTTGCTATGGTGCAGACGTGGCTGAGGCTACGTCTGTACGCATTTCCCCCTGTTGCTCTGCTCCCAGGAGTTCTGGAGTGATTCCGCCAGGATGGAATAAGCCTATTTAGTAGCACCACCCTGGCCGAGCTGAATTTGGTTTGCGGACCTAATTTTTCTCCTCGACGTACCTCCCTTGGAGGTCCCGATCAGGAGAGACCTTCTGTCTCAGGCAGGGGATGCAATATTGCACCCCCGGCAGGGGATTTGGGAACTGTGGGTTTGGCCTCTGAGGGGGCCCAACTCATAGAGAGTGGTCTCTCAACCGAGGTTGTTGAGACCATTCTAATCTCCAGAGCTCCCGCTACGAGGAAACTATATTCACTATTTCGAGAGTTTTTCACTTCTTGGTGTTACCAGCGTCAGTGGGATCCGGTTAACTTTTCAGTAAACACAGTATTCGAGTTTCTGCAAGAACGCTTTGTATCAGGTCTATGTCCTTCCACGCTTAAGGTATACGTGGCGGCCATTGCGGCTCTCCACGCCCTGGTGGGTAGTACATTTTTGGGTCGAGACCCCCTGATCACTCGTTTCCTTCGTGGCACTTTGAGGCTGAGGCCTGCAACTTGCACTAGGGTGCTGGCTTGGGACCTTGCAATAGTTCTAGAAGGCCTATCTGGGGCTCCCTTCGAGCCCTTAGATTTGGTCTCAGAGAAGTTCCTTTCTTTTAAGACTATTTTCTGCTAGCTATTTCGTCCCTATTAGAGTCAGACCTTCAGGCCCTTTCGGTCCCCACCTGCCTTGAGTGCACCGGGGATGGCCAAGGCAATCTTACCCGAAACATGGATATGTTCCAAAGGTGCCTACCATTATTCCGAGGCCTATTGTGCTGCAGGTTTCTGTCCTCCTTTTACATCTGCGGACCAGGAAAGGCTGAACCACTTGTGTCCAGTGCGAGCACTGGATACTTATGTTCATCGGACATCTTCAATGAGGAAGTCCGACCAGTTATTTATTTCCTTTGGATCACCTAAGAAGGGTCTTCCTGCTTTTAAACAGACGGTTAAGTAAGTGGATAGTTGAGGCTATTGTCCTTTGGCGGTCAGAGCTCACTCTACGAGGGGTATGGCGGCCTCTAAAGCCTTACTTTTTGGAGTTTCTCTTCAAGACGTTTGTGATGCGGCAGGCTGGTCCTCACCGCTCACATTCGTCAGGTTTTACAGTTTGGACCTGGATGCTGCCCCAGGTTCTCAGGTGCTTAGTGCTTAGTTCCAACAGACTGACACTCAGGTACTTGGAATTCTGGCGTTTTGGGTATTCTCGTTCCCAAAGCGTCGATGACGCATCGCGAGTTCCCTCGAAAGGGAACGTCTCAGGTTACTACTGTAACCATAGTTCCCTGAGAAAGGGAACGAGAAGATGCGTCACCCTGCCATACTTCCTGCATCCCTCTGATCGGCTTGCTTCGACTTTTTGAAGCTAATGCCGCATTTCACCGGATGTGCTCTTATGCCTTCCTGGTCACGACGTCACCCGCCCGTGACGCTCATTCTTTCCATTGGACTAGTTGACATTGATGCTCAGACGCATTCACGCTGGGGGAGTTCCCAAAGCGTCGATGACGCATTGTCTCGTTCCCTTTCTCAGGGAACTATGGTTACAGTAGTAACCTGAGACATTTACTAGACTAAATGTAAGCATTTACTCATCATCTCACAAAAACAGATTCAGTACTCCTCAAAATGAATAAAAACAGTGAAATGCAAATACAGAATATTAAGCAAACCTGCAATAATTACATGTTAAATTAGACAAACGCTGCTGATCATCGATGATCTAATTCAACTGCACGAATAAACAAAAATGACTTTACATAAACGTTTCGTTATTTTTTGTATTGCTGAAGTGAGTGTTGGGCGCCCGAAATCACATATTTCCCTATACTATATAGGCGGAAAACAGAATGTGACAAATGAAGTATGTCCCAATTCACAGTACTCATAAATGAGTAGGCAAAAAGTCTCCGGATGGCCTACTACTTCCGGCGAGATTCTGAAGTGTGCATATGGACACTTTACTATCCCATGAGGCCACAGGAGAGGATTTATGATTGGCAGTGAAGCAATGTTACTGACCCTGGAAGGTCACATGATAATGACAATATGGCAAATAAATGTAGTATGTCCATATTACATTCATACTACACACATTCATATATAGAATGTACATTTTTAGTGGTCATGAAGTAATTACTTATTCATAATAAGTAGGCATACCTATCTTCTCAAGAAAGTATGAGATTTCAGATACGCTGCGTCCAAAATTGAATACTTCCCTATATAGTATGCGAAAAACAGTAGGCGAAAAGTCCCTGGATGACCTACTTCCAGCGATATTCTGAAGTGCGTATACGATGGACACTTTACTATCCCATGGATTTATGAATGGAGGTGAAGCGACGTAACTGACGCTGGTAGGTCACGTGATAATGACAGCATGGCGAATGTAGTACGTCCAGATTACATTCATATTATTTAGAACAAATGTAGTACATACTCAGACAGTATGCGATTTTGGAGGCAGCTTTTGTCCTATTCTTCTGCAAGCCAGAACGGCAGCACAGCTGAAAGGTTTGTTTGAGCGGCGCCCTCTAATGTACAGGAGTGAATGTGCATTTCCTTCAGCCTGAGGCTTATTCATTTCACTTTTGGTGTGAAAGGCCTTCACATTTGCCAAAAACAGAACTTTTTTTTTTTTTAATTAAAAACAAACAAGCAAGCAAGCCCATCCCAGATGATAAAAAGTAACGCAACACATTACTTTCCATAAAAAGTAACTATAACACAATTAGTTACGTTTCAAGGGAGAAACACACTATTGTAATGCATTACTTTTAAAAGTAACTTTACCCAACACTGAGAATAACTGAATAACCTACTGATGCAGTTTTCACACTTCAGTCAGATGCAAATCACGGTAACAAGCAAACCTGCAGCATGTGAACATCCAGAGGGTGTTAATTTTTCATCACAAACAGTTCAAAAAGACATGTTAGGAAACGTTTTGGCTGAACTTTTTTACAGCCATTTATTGTCTTATATTCCTCATGTTGACAGCATAGCTTCTTTTACATTATGGATGATATGTCTCAAAACTACTTTGGCAGAGTAAAAGCATTAAGGCACATGTTAGTATGAGGTATTACAGACGAATAAAGAGTTTATAGACACTGATGATTACAAACCATGCTTAACTCCATATTAACAGGCAAAATGGAACCCGGATAGCTTGTCAATGTAAGCAGCAGCAATCCTACACAACTCAATGACTTCAACACTGGATGAACACAAAACAAAACCATTTTAGCTAAGGGCCTTTTTCTATGACCCTGATGTTTCTTGGGAATCAACATATTATAATGTAAATTGCAGGTTTATAATACTAACTTTTATTCTTCATTTGTACTTGATAGTTGAGGTAAACGGGACATACACTACTGTTTTAAATTTTAGGGTCAGTAAGATTTTTGAAATGTTTTTTTTTTTTTTTGCTCAAGGACGCAGAATTTTTTCAAAAAAAAAAAAAAAAAAAAAAACAGTAAAAATAGTAACATTGTGAAATATTTTTACAATTTAAAACACCTCTTTTCTGTTGTAATATATATAAAAAAAAAAAAAAAAAAAATGTATTCCTGTGATGGCAAAGCTGACTTTTCAGCATTATTACTTCAGTCTTCAGTGTCACATGATCCTTCAGAAATCATGATGATTTCCTGATAAATAGAAAGTTCAAAGAAACTGTTTTTGCAACGTTTTTAGTGTCACGTTTGCTTAAATGTATTTATCCAAGCTGAGCAGAAGCATTTAAAAATATATATATACAGTATATATATTTTTACTGACCCCAAGGTTTTGAACAGTAGTGTAGATGCTTATTAGCAAACACAAAGATGTGCTTGACAGTGAGCAGCAATATATAAGATAAATAAAAAAAGCACTAAATTGTATGTAAATTGAATTTCTATTATTAAATAGTCAGAGATAAGAATAGAAACAGAAAATAACGGCTGAAAGGGCAAGATTCTGGTATATTTACATAAAGCCCATGGAGGAAAGCACTGCATGAAGATTACATTTTTTCCCTTACATGAAGCAGTTGACTAAATCAGATTTTGCAATAATATATTTGGCAGGTGAATATAGAGTCAAAACAGTCTGAAATGCTCACTAAATAAGTCATGCAGTGCAAATGTTTATCATTTATGCACTAAAACTACTGACTTGATAATTATACTGCATGTAGAATGGACTTTGAAATGAGTCATTTAAATTGTCAGTAAACATATGCAGTTACAGTGTAAGATCATTAGGTTTGGTGTGAACATGTCCATGTTATTCTCAGAGCAAAGGGTTTCCTCTTACACACAAGGCCAATCTGTAACTCCAGCCCCACTAATCAGTGCAGCGTGGTCCGACACAACACATTAAAACACCATGATACAATAAGTTAATAGGCACGTATCAGTTAACATAATGCACAAATATCATGCATATGCTGCCACAGTATATTTCTTCCTTGATCAAAACATTTTGACATAATGCATAGGTACAGTATAAAGTCCATTACATAAAAAAACATTACCAGTAATAAAAATAAACATCTGTACAAAAGTCCTGCCAATATTTTTATGGTTTGCTGTATTTTCCATCATTTTAACAGATCAATGGCAAAAAAAAAAAGTACAAAAATAAATATTCTATTTACAATCACACATGGCATTCAGGAATTAACATCACTGCAAGACAAGAGGCAAAAGACCACATGTTATTTTCAAAGCACACATCTTTCAAGCAAATGGAGGCATAGATTGTTTCCTATCAGATGTTGTTTAGAAAGAAAAGATTTATAGTCGCTAATAAAGCTCAAATCAGATTCGAAACAACTGGTCATACAGTGCTATATTGAAGATTGAAAATGATCAACCAATTTGAAATTAAATTATGATTATATATTAAAAACGGATTGTAGATGACAGTTAATATAGTGACTTCAAATCTATACCTCCATATCATGAATTCATTGCACGAGTAAGGATGGCATGGACGCAATTATTTCAAAAGCAAAATGTTAATATGATCAGTCAAGAGAACTCACTTTATTCCAACACCCTGGTACTGGCAGACCATCATCGCCCTAAAACAAAGAGGAGAGGTGACGAATAGTTAAAACTCATTTCATTTTCTTGAGATAGGAAACATAACAGTATCCGTGCACATACAGTATACATAACCATTTCAGTAGCCACTTTTGAAACATACATTTCCCCTCATCCATCCATCCATCCATCCACCAATCAATCAACCAATCAATCAACCAATCAATCAACCAACCAATCAACCAACCAATCAATCAATCAATCAATCAATCAATCAATCAATCAATCAATCAATCCTGTATCCATTTACACAAACAAACACAAAGCAGCACTCAAAACTATAACTATATGAATAAATATATAATACTATAATAATAATAATAATAATATAGCTATCTATATATGCAAAGATGATGTACCTGGATGTTTCAAACCAAAGTGTTTACATTCTTAACAATTCAATTGGGTAAATTACTAAGAAAATAATGATCAGTCAAGAATGATACCTGCTTACTGCAACAAGGCATTTCTATTGAACACTTTCTTTCATGCAGATATTTGTGGTGATCCAGGGTGCTCCATTTTACCGGATGAAAACAGACGTGGTGAAAAGTGTTATTTCGTTAATATGCAGGTTAGTGTAAGAATATTGGATACACAGATAAATAAAAAATTAAATTGAATGCATGCATTTATGTTAAACAAAGAAAAAAACATTTTATTTTACAAGTAGTCTCAATATGTATATTTTACAGAAATCAAATTAAGCAAGTGTTAAATTCACACAAAAAACATATTGGTGAAAACAAACGGTTAGATTTGTATTATTTTAATAATATATTAAATGAAGTTTTTTTTCTGAAACAGATTTTAAAAATGGTTAATAAAGGGGTCATGAACTGCATTTTTTCATAAAATTTTATGTTCTTTGAGGTTCACTTATAATGTAAGCAAGATTTTCACCAAAAAAACATCCTAATTTAGAAGTAATGAGCTATTTTCCATCCTGTGTTTACCTTTTCTTTGAAACACTCAGTTTTGATGGGCATGCCGCATTTATAAGTGCCTCTATTATTTATTTTTTGAAAATGACCTCTCATGTAGTGTGTAACATAGTGAATGAAAACATCCTGCAAAGTTTTAAATCTGAAAGTGCACTGTATATAAAGTTATTGTCTTTCAAAAGTAAGAGTCGACTCGGAGTCAGTGAAATGAATTGTTTTCAAACGAGTCATAAGCCGTTTCGTTGAGACGTCAAGACGAAACATTAGCATATTGCCCGCCCACTTATTGCACACGCAGACACCAGGGAAAACTTGAGCCTCAAACACTGATTCCTGTGGATACTGGATCATGTCCAGAAGAAGCTGTGCTCTACAATGTGACGGTAAAGCCAGTTTTGTTTCACTGTCCAAGGACGAGCATGTGAAGAATCAGTGGTTAAAATTCATCTTTACCATGATATCACGGCAGTATAATCCTAAACTTGTGCGGTGTTCCCTTTATTTTACTGACGACTGCTTCTCAAATCTTGGAGTTAAATGCAGGATTCGAAAACTGCTTGCTCTTGAAAGATGGTGTTCAAAATACTTATTTTTGAGTTTTATATTGTGTAGGTCTCCTGTTAACTGTCTTACTGAAATACTTCTAATCAGTTGTGGGCCACTATTACCTAAAACTGTGTCTATTAATGCAGATTGTCGGTCGTTCTCACTACTTTGAGGAAAGATTAAGCATGGAGCAAGATTTGTTTTTACCAACGTTTATGTTACATCAGTCATTCACTAGAGCTTGGCTAATGTATGCACTGTTATTGATACAGTTTCCACATGTTCACTCCAATAAATTAGAAAAATACTCTGTAAATAAAATAAGTACAAGTAAAATAATCGGTTTGTTGATGGACATGCACTTGTTAATGCTGATGGTGAGGAATTACAGTTGCAACATCTCATAATGTACCTCAAACTGAGTAGTGTATCACTGAGAAACGTCCTGCTAGAGTTTGTCCTTGCGATGAAGATTCGGGTTTAATGAATAGCTCTTCCAATGTTTCATCATCTCACTCGCGCTCAGATTGCTATGGTAAAATCGGCGTCATTGTTCATTACCGTGTTTAGTTTATGGTGTAGAAAGTCTCAGGAAACGCAGAGCTGACGTTTTGGCAATGGGCGTTTTTGTTTTCGACACACGCGTTGTACACGTTAGACCAATCACAACAGACTGAGCTGTCTGGCCAATCAGAGCAGAGTAGCTCGCGGAAAGAAGGGATTTAGAGAAATTGATTCATCTGACGAATCGTTTGAGAATCATTGAAAATGTAGTGATGTGCAAATGTACATTATGAGAAAATGAAACAGTTTTTTTTTACCTTTGATGCATGTAAAACCTGTTGTAGGAGACTCCAATACAACCTTAGGAAACTTTAAAATAGCATAATAGGGGCACTTTAAAATAATTTTCAACGTCTCCGCCATTACACATGTGGATCTGTTTTATAACATCCGATGTTGAATATGGGAAACCAACCAGTGAAATTCATCCATGTTTGAGCCAGAGTCTGATCTCGAATCAGAAGACAACGAACCTACACCTCAAATATCAAGGATACTCCAGTCTGTGATAGCGTGGTATGGTTATTAATCATCTTTATTTATTCCTTATGTATTTGTGGTTACATTATATTAGTGTTGAAACAAAGACGCTACAGAAAAGTGTTTATCTAATTGAAACATTTGCCAACTGTGAAATATTTATGCATACATGACATATAGGCTACTGTACTTCATAAGTCTTTGTTGTGGCAAAAACAATTTAAGTACTTGGAGTTATATTACATATATGTCGTTCTTATATCCATCGTTCATAATTTTCAGTAAAGTGAGAACATATGATCTGATCTGTAACAGTCAAAGCAATGGTGACACATGGTAAAAAGATTGTTACTCACACTTGTGTGTTGCAACATTTCTGTCGGAACTGATACAGTCGTCACAGCATCATCTTTTATTCTCAGTCTCTCGTTTAAAAACGAATCCGCAGTAAAATGAAGCGAACATGAACCGACGCGATCCTGCACGCCGTTAAAAATAAAGTTCATCAACGCTTTCTTACTGTTAGGATCACAAGGAAGGCAATGCAAACACTGTGTTTTTCCACAACTTGGCACTGCAAAACATCTTGTAATCCTCTATCGTTTTGTTGTCAGAGTTAAGTCTGTGTTTGCGTCTCTCTCGCATTTATACTACTATATGACATGTGCGAATCGGTAGGCGGAGCCAAAGAGGCAATGATGTAGAAGTAGAAGTAGTCAAGACACATATTCTGAAACGAGTCGTTTTGGGAGCTTGGTTTCAATAAAAGCTGTTTTTGAACAAACGAGGAAGTTTACAGGATATTTTTATAGTACAATGACTTCTTGTCATAAGATCAAGGAAAAAAAATTTATTTCTGAATTCATGACCCCTTGAAAGTTTGTAGACATACAAATAAATAAATCTACTTTCAATAAAGCCGGTAGATAAATCTTTCAATAAATCTACAGTCTAAAGATACCTTAAATGGATGGTCCATTTCTGGTTAACAGTTAAAAGCAGTTAAAAACTGCAGTCTTTAATAAAGATATTAATGCTGAGATGCCATGCAAGCTTTTTTTCTGTTCTATTCTTCATTTGTTCTCCATTCTGAATGGGCTATGCTGCAGCATTCGCTTCAGAGCGGCAGGAAGCATGCGGAATAAGGAAAGGGATAGACAGCAGCATACCACAGCGCACGGGGCATCAAGCCCGTCCAGGCCTGGCAGCCCCGGTTCACCTTTCTCCCCTTTAAAGCCTCGGAAACCCTGTTTATGAAATCAATCAAATAAACATCCTGTCGTCCAGCCACACAACCACAATGGCCGCTGTGTTCCAGCGTCTGATTGGTCCAGAGCACACCGGACCTGAGACTGACAGGATTTTGTTCACCACATCCACAGGGATGTAAACTCCACATAGTTCAACTATAATTTATTGAATAGTGGCTCCATCCCACTGTGTTCATCAGAACCAAATTCCTGTCAGTCCTAATCCTGAAAAGCAAAAATCCCATTAAGAGTTCTGGGGCATAGTCATTTTTAATTCAAATCCCCATCTACAATAGTTTTTATGTAATATATGAGCACAAAGTCTCTTTATATGTATATACATTGTAATTCTAAGACTTAGACCAGAACTCCTCTGGGCAGTTGTTAGTGTTTATTACACAAAGACATAAGGAGACGTGGCTTTCGTGAAGTCTCCTTTTGCCTTAGTGCTGCACGTTGAACGAAAGACATACCAACGGACACGGGGCATCTAATCCTGGGGCTCCTTGGTCTCCCTTATCCCCTTTGGCCCCCCTGTTGCCTTTCTTGCCCCTCTCCCCCTGCAAACAACAGTGCATTCGGAAAAAAAGTCAGACCTCCTAGTCTACTAGCAGTACTTGTAAGAAAAGCACCATCACTAAGAATAACTATAAGACACTCTAAAAGTAGATGTGCTTTTGAATTGAGCTACAATGAGTTTTGGGATCATTTAAGGAGAGTAAGTGGAGGGGTTAAGGAGAAAGGAGGTCAGCCAGTGTGGTTAGTGTGGGATTTAAAAATATTGTTTTGAAGTATTACTAACTTTGTGTAAAAAATACTGAATGCAAATTTACTAAATATTTTAAAATTAATAAATAAGGTTAAATAAGTCGAATGACTTATGAAAAGGTCATGCTCTTTGGAGCCTCATTTTTAAGCCTCAATTACATAGACTCCCATTCAAAAGTTTGGGGTCAGTAAGATGTTTTAATGTTTTTAAAAGAAGTCTATTATGCTCACCAAGGCACATTAATTTGATCAAAAATACAGTAAAAACAGTAATACTGTGAAATATTATTAGAATTTAAAATAACAGTTTTCTATTTTGAAATGCAATTCAATCCTGTGATGCAAAGCTGAATTTTCAGCATCATTACTCCAGTCTTCAGTGTCACATGATCCTTCAGAAATCATTAATATGCTGATTTGCTGCTCAAGAAACATTTATTATCAACTGTTGAAAGCAGTTGTGTTGCTTAATATTTTTGTCGAAATCATGAAAAAGAACAGCATTTATAAATGAAATAGAATGAAATCTTTTGTGACATTATAAAAGTTTCTTTACTGGTACTTTTGATCAATTTAATGCGTCCTTGCTGAATAAAGGTAATGGGTTATGATGATGACTGAACATCATTTTTGATCCCTACATCTAAACCTTTGGAAGGAATATATTTTTATTATTCTTGGCAGCAAATGTTGGCTCTAATAAGTAGACAATCTGTGATTGATTCCATATAGAACAATGAAATGAAATCACAAAGGCTAATGTACAAAAGCTGACGAGGCACTAAAACTGTTTAATCAACATCCCTATTCTATACTAATTAAGACCAGCTTTGCTTTTAAGAGTGTTTCATGATTTATCTTCAAGGCTGTACGCAAAGCTTAAGGGTTCTTTGGAGGAAACTATTACATTTAAGCTATATAAATGGGATCTTTCTATGCTTTAATACAGAGTTCTAACATTCCGAACAGCCCTCATCATGATAGTTATTCTAACGCTTAATGGAGGAAGGAAAAATTACATTATGAATCAACATGGAGCTCATTTTCTAATCCTGTTTGATGAATACTGATTCCTTAAGACTGTTTCTGAACTTTTGGCTCACATCAGGAGTCCTAAATACTCTCATCAGGATGTCAGAATGAGCTCTACACCGACATAATGCCATTTCCAACATTGCTTGGTTATGTGCCTTTTGAAAATAGATCCAGATGTGGCTTTCGTGGAACAATAAGAACTCTGTGCATTAGCATAATTGGGAGAAAATCAATGCAGGTTGGTAGGGAGGTAAGTCAAGGATATGAACAAAAGTATAGGAGGTGAGGAAGAGGAGGAGTATTAACCCAGGCTACGACATTAGGATGCAGGAGGAGCAGGAGGAGGCCAGGGAGTGAGAGGGGGACAGAGAGGACGACCCGGCCCGACTCGGCAAAAAGAGCCACGGACACAGGCTAGGGTGCGGGGGGAGGAAAAGGGGATAGGAAGACCTGTGGAAAAAAGAGAGGAAGACAAGGAAAGGACAAGAGTAAAAACAGCACCGTGTCCAAGGGTCCTCCACAGCACCTTCCACTGAGCTGAGCAGCAGCATACTGACAGATTTATCAAAACCAGTGGAGGATGTTGGGAGGAGCACTGACATGTCCTGACTTTCAAGGTGGGAGACATTCAGTCTGAGTAACTGAGGAAATTAGTGTTAATAGGAGACAGGCATACAGTCTAGGAGGATGAAAGCACAGGAAAAGCACAGAAAAGCAATGGTCAATTCACATGTACTTCTTTTTATAATAATAACTCTTAGAACATTTCAAACGTAGCAGTTTATATCATAGGTCAGTTTTTGCATTAATCATGCAGAAATGTGTTTTAAATATACTGCAAATAAATGATTAAAATATATAAATTGCAAATATATTTATATAAAGGACTGACAAATAAACAGTTCTGGAGTAAGAATATATGTTTAAACAATTCTATCATGAACAATTAACATATACAGCGGCATCCAAAAGACTGTTTAGCATTTTTGTATATTTAATACATTTTATAAAATACAAATTAAATTATTAACATATCAATGTGACTTACAATTGAATAAATATTTATGTGTGTGTGTGTGTGTATAAAATCTGATGCTCAATTCAGAATGATTTGAGAAAGAGCAAGGACATCTGATCCATAATGACTGAAAAAGAGTGCAGAAACGTACATTTTTCCTCATTATTTGTCCTAACCGTTTTGCGTTTTAAATTGGTCAAAATCCTAAGACATTTATTTCCAGGTTTGTTCATTTTAGATTTTTAATTTCTTATTTTCACAGACTTTTAGACCCCACTGTATATAACATACACATATTTTCTAGCAGTGAGCAGTAGCCATTCTAATTTCTTACACCCAGCATGCTTCTGCTTGTGTTTTTGAAAAAACCTCCATAACAAATACAATCGATAAAGCCGGGCTCTATGGAGGCTTGTTTCTGCCACAGAATAAAAAATAAAAAAGGTAATTGCGACTTTTTATCTCACAAGACTCAGACGAAATTGCACGTTATAAAGTCAGAATTGTGATTCTGTCTGAGTCCGAGTCCGAGCCCGGCTAAATACTGCATAATAACTGATAATGACAAATTAATAAATGAACAGTAGCTAATGCTTAAAAGTTTGGCAGATTCATGCTGGTTTAGAAATATCGTCCATCCCTTTATTTTAAGAAAGTGGACTCATGTTATTGTCCTTCAAAGTCACAATAACATATTCTGCAAACAAACTACGATCAAGAAAGCATTTATAATCTTACCCGATTTCCTTTTAATCCCGGTGGTCCTACTAAACCCTGAATGAAAGGGGGAGAGACATTAATGATGGCCTATTTTTCATTTGAATGCACTTGGAAACGTTACAATATTTAAAATGTTAAATTGTGCTCTGGTACAGCACTTACTGGGATGCCTTGAGGCCCAATTGGTCCTGCTACTCCCATATCGCCCTTTTCCCCCTGTACAGTAAAACAATGCATAGACATTATATTGAACTGTATTACACTGGACTTTATAGCTTTATACAATCAGTGAATGTTTTTGATAGGTTGACAAGGGGATGTTGAATTAGCAGAGCAAACTGTTGCATTACAATTTTGCATGTAATAATTCAACAACTGATATAATCAGTGATAAGATAATGCAATTAATTGTGATGTACATTCAAAAATATTTCATTTGGTCAATTGTCATGAGGATGGGAGCACTAACCATTTCTCCTTTTGGTCCTGCAGGCCCAGACACTCCTGCTGGTCCTATCAGACCCTTTGAACAAAGAAAGTGACAGGCGTGAGCTTCAACAGAGGGGATGGCGTTCGGTGACGAGGTCAGAAAGGGAGAGAAACTAGTCAGTGTTGAGCACCAATAGATCAACAAACTTTTCAGAGTTGAATAAAAGCCGTTTTAAACTCCTTATGTATGTTTGAAAACAGTCATCTGAGGTCCAAACTGGAAAAAACTCCAAAGTTTGTTGATCTAAGGGGAAATAAACAGACACACAAGTAAATATAACAGCGAATCCATCTTCCATTTTCCTCTCATGACTTGGAGAGGATTCAAGAGAAGGGCTGTTAGACATCTTGCTTTTTCGTGAGTCTTGCTTCTCAGCCATTTGTACAGTCGTATGCCATACTGTAATCATTGTTCATGCAGCCGCATCCCATCATGCTCTCTCCTGGTATGACATTACAAGGTCAAAGCTTGTCTTGGAATGAAATAAAGCTCGAAGCTTGAAGGGAATTAAGCCTTCGAAAGGTCAACAGAGCTTGAGTATATATATATATAAAGGTAAAGAGGGCTGCGACGGCATGAAATGCAAAGGGATTATTCACTGGTAGAGGACTAAGTACGTACTTTTCAAAGAAAGAGAAAGTGCGTTTCAGAGAGAGAGCGAGCGAGATGTTTATAAGTGTTTGGCCATGCTCCCCTTCACTCACTCGTGTGTTGACAGGTTGAGAAATAAACTGAGCGCGGTACCTCTGGAAACAGCAAGAGGCAACAGCCAAACAGGCTTAGGGACAAAGTCAAATCAAAGTCATACTCATGCCGATGCAACCTCAATAGAGATCTAAACAAGGCCTTGACCATTAGACAACACAGAAAAGACACAAACGCAGGAGACAAGCAAGCAACGGCTCAAGCAGAGGCAGACAGACAGAAAGAGTGAAGCAGGCAGACTGCGGAGGGGGAAAAGAGAGAGGGATGAATGGAAATAGAGGGGTGGATGTTGGGAACGGGTCTTGCGCCACTCACCACTGGACCAGGACTGCCGTCTAAACCATGAGCCCCCTGGACAGTGTGTAAAGAGTTACAGAGCGAGAGGAGAGATGGAGGTGGTGGAGAGGGAGGGGAGAAGTGTGGGGGGAGGAGAGGGTGGGTGAGTGAAGCAGTGACTTGTGTGCCACATAAAAACAACACTAGTTTTGATGGAGGGGTGACATGTTGAAGATGACATGTAAGAGACGGGCAGTAACTCCTTTCAATGTGACTTTAGCTTCTTATAGTGTGACTGCTAGTGAACACGACTTAAACCGGTCCTTAATATAGCATGCTGTTTTCAATCATTCCTTTCAGCTCTATGAAAGGTGATAAAATAACAACAGGTGGGTTTTAAATTCCAGAAGAGATGCTAAAACTAAAAATAATACTTGTAAATAGTTGTTCGATTCCAAAACCTAGTAAGCTGCACTGCCGTCTACTACCTTCTAAGGTGGCATGTTAAACTGAAACGCAACCTCATAAGTGACTGAATAGGAGCACTATACATAGGCAGCAACACAAATAGCGCTCCAATCTCTGCATAGGAGAGTTGACTTAAAGCTAAAGGCTTGATCACACCGAGAACGATAACTATAAAGATATCTATAACGATAGCAGACGACGGTATGGTTCTGTTTATTCTAAGCGGCGCACTGCAGGTTTGTCGTCTGCCGCTTTAAAGCCAGATGGATTCTGATTGGCTGTCAATGTTCATCAGCTGGAAAATATTGTTCTGAAATAGATTTCAACGATATATTTTCTCTGTGCCGTTAAACTTGTTGTATGGACTCTGCTAGTCTTTTATATTTTAGAACTATATCTTTATTTTAATTTTATTGTTATTTTGATAATAGCATTTTGCTAAGCTAACAAAAAATCTAAGGTTATTGGTGCAGCCAAGTGTTTGTGGCAGGAGTGTACCTATGATGCCTTAAAATGATGTCTACTGTAGGTAGGCAGCTCACTAGGTTATGGAACAGAGGAGCACACTGGGTAATATTAGCCCTTCCACAACACAAAAAGCTTTGGATCATTGTTTTTTCATATTCTTAAGCAGAATTTTATCTTGTTTTCCAGTAAAAATCTGTAAACAATTTTCATTTTACGTAAAATTTACTTGGAAAGGCTCTAATTAAAAAAAAAAAAATTACCACATTGGTAACATGTTTTTGCTTTTCTTAAAAATCAACAGTGTGAGGTTTATGCTTAGATAAAATTAGGTAAATTATTAGGTTTTTTTTTGCAGTGCATTCTAAAGATTTTCAAGACATTTTCAACACTTTCTCTTATTTGTTTAAAAGGAGTTACTGTGCCATTGATGATGTGACTAGAACAAGTTTATCAATGACTTTGACACCACAGATGTACACCAGAAGTCAGGAAAAGACCCCTGAAATTCACAGTAACAACCTATAGCATGCTATTTAACGAACAGAGAGGAAACATTTTATAAAAAACCACGTAGAGTATTTTGAAATAATTACATGGATGTCAGTCAGTTTCAGTAATATGAAACCATCAGGAACTCGTTGGTAATCAATTAAAATATGTAAAAAACAATGTGACAAGATGATTACATGATGGCACTTGTATATGATTGCCAAATGTGGAGATCCACTGATTCATGCAATGTGACACTTAGCCATGAACCATGACATCTAGTTACAGAGACACATGAAATAGCAGCACAATGATATTTGCATTAACGGGTCTAAAGCACAAACCTTACACAAAACATGCTTTTCCACTAATGCTGCACTCAGGAAAGACAAAAATATCTTGGTTCAGCTGACAAGATTGTTTGAATATTATCAAATTAATTACTCACTGGTATCACTGATGTGACGTACTCATAATTAATTCACCATAAGGATTGATTTGATGAAACTGACAGCTATTTTATCTTAAATTGTTATTGCAATGCATGCAAAGTATAAACACTAGATTATTATAATAATAATCAGAAATGTACTTACAGGGAGTCCCAGATGGCCCCTGTCTCCTTTATCTCCTTTCTGTCCAGGTGATCCCTTCTCTCCTCTCAAGCCTATTCCTGGCTCTCCCTGACCCAGAAAGAACATAAAAGATTGAATGTCTTGCTTAACATATGGCAAGGCACATAACTTTTCATTTTAAAGGGATAGTTCACCCAAAAATAAAAATTCTGTCATCATTTACTCACCCTCAAGTTGCTACAAATCTGTATGAGTTTCTTTCTTCTGCTGAAAACAAAATAATATATTTAGAAGAATATGGGTAAGCAAATATTAGGCCCCATTGACCTCCACAGTATTATTTTTTTTTTCATACTATGGAAGTCAATGGGGCCCATTAACTGTTTGGTTACCCATATTCTTCAAAATATCTTATTTTGTGTTCAGCAGAAGAAAGAAACTCATACAGGGTTAAAACAACTTGAGGGTGAGAAAAAATGATTGCAGAATTTTTATTTTTGGGTGAACTATTCCTTAAAGTTAGTTAATGGAATATAAAAGTGACTTGGGCTGCGATACTTACCTTTGGTCCTGACAAACCTGGAGTTCCCTGAAAAGCACAAAAAATAAATATGACATATCAGCATTAAAACTCAAACATTTTGAGTTGTTTAAAATGAGTTCCTCTATATAAATGCACCATCAAATGAAAAATAAAATGCACTGATGCTCCTTAGGCCCACATATCCATCTGTAATATGTGTGCTGTTATCATAAGCTTTTATGGAGTAGACAATGCCCTCACCATTGGCCCAACTGGCCCTGCAGGTCCTGGAGGCCCAGCAGGCCCATAGACCTTAAACAACACAGATAGGAGAGTCACCATTCAGATATTTAATTCTAAATATTTCCTAACCTTGAAGACCCACAGGCTAAGCTGATGTCTATTGAAACCCCATTAAAACCCCCAAAATGTGCAAATCAAATGATAAAAAAATGTGGAACATACCAGCTCTGCTTTATCTCCTTTCTCTCCAAGTTCACCTTTCTGACCCTGAAGACGTTATGAAAAAGCAAAAGGAGAAGGAGTATTCAACTTTACCATTCATTCAACAGAATTAAAACTGGCATGATGAAATACAGTACACTGCACCCTAAAGTCATGTGTTGTCTTTTCAACAATGACGTTTGATTGAGGGGCACCATTGCATACCATTGGGCCTGGCAATCCAATATGGCCAGGGGGCCCTGAAACCCCCTTTTCTCCAGTAGGGCCATCTAAACCCTACAGAATGAGGAAAGAATGTGAAATAGCAATTAAAATGAACAGAAAACTCAAGTTGGGGGGGGGGGGGGGGCATCCTTAAAAACAAAGTCCACAACCAAGAGACCTTTTAATTCTTAACATCCAACACATAGGACAAATGATTAGTAAATTGTAGGCTTTTAAGGATGCAATGCTGCCCACTCACCACAAACCTTTTCAAAATTCAAAAGCACTCAGGATGATCTCACTTGCTCAAAGAAACAAAACCAAATTTACATGCAAATCATTTTCTGATTAAGTTCTATTTTCTGGTTAAGCCTTTAATTTCAAAAAGATGTTTACATGCTCCACAATTATTGGAATATTCCAATGTTCTTGCAATTCAGAATATTCCAAACACACTGTCTTCTGGAAATATTGAAATATTGATATTGAAATTCTGGAAATATGATTCTGTTGTTTTATTGAGGTGCCTATTTTTTTTTATTTTTTTTTATTGAAATTTCTAGAAAAACAAATATTGGCTTAATTTGGTAATGGCAATCTGAACAATAAGAGTACATGATGTTTACATCATTTGAATATTATGATACGTTGCATAATATCAGAATATTGTTTCATGCAGGAGTTAAAGGACACAAGACCCTTGTGATTATTTTACAGCTCAGGTGTAGTCAGACAGACCACTACAGTCACTCACAGGTGATCCCGAGGGGCCCATGACTCCCTTGTCTCCTTTTGGGCCAGGGAAGCCCATGACTCCTCCTTCTCCCCGTGGTCCCTCTAGTCCAGGAGGGCCGATGGGTCCCTGTTCTCCTGGCTTTCCTCTTGGACCCTAAACAGAAGTAAACAGGTGCAATCACTCAGCATTAGAAAGGATCAAGAGCTGAGTAAATACATCCACCAAAGGACTACTCACAGATTAGTGGCTAAAATAGGTTTCATTTATAGTAAATGTTAATTATTATTTACCTTTTCCCCATCAAGACCAGGGGGGCCTGGAAGTCCAACGTCACCCTGAGGGGGAAAAAGGTGATGTTTAATGCAAAAGAACAGGGTGGAGTACAGTGATACGTCGCTTCTTAAAATACTTCCTCAAATCAAACCAGAATTTAGTATGAAATTCTCCCAATGTTATAAATCAAGGATAAAAGATGAGAGAAGTTGATCAGCTACCTTCAAACCGGGGGTCCCAGGAAGCCCTGGAGGCCCAGGTAGACCAGGAGCGCCCTAAAATGACAAAAATAGATGCTTAAATAAACACTGAAAGTTGTTCTCTTTTTATCTGTTTATACAAATGCTTAGGAGTCTATGACTGGATCGTTATTGCAGTTATTATTATGTTTCTTGCATCTTATATGTTTGGCAACAGTTCTTCTAACCCTAATTGATGGAGTGTGTAGCTTTTCATTTCTTAAACAACCATGTAGGAAGACGCTACATGGCCATATTCCAGGATCTCTTTTGTTTTTTTTTTGCCGGATACTCAAACAAAATGTTATCCAGTTTCCTAACAATACATCAAATACAGAAAAGGCCATTGACGCTTACCACTGAATGCACATTGCGAATATCCTGAAAAACAAATTTAAATTAGTGCCTTCATACATTACAAAATAATCTATTGAAACTTTTACATCAAGGCAGGGAAGAGAATATGCAAATTGACCAAATTATAATTAAAGTACCATTTGTATGCATAAAAAATAAAGACATACATTTTCATTGTTGTTGATTAAAGTTTTTCCTGGCTCCCCGGTCGGACCAGGTGGTCCCTGTTGAGTGATGGGAGAACAATCAATCAATTAATATATAACATTACTTCTGATATCAACCACACGTGTCAATGACAAATCTTACACTGTGCACATGGTCTCTACTCACCCTTGGTCCAGATGGGCCTTCCTGGCCAGTTTCACCCTGCAAGGCAAAATGCATTAATTTGTGCTATTGTTCTCCAAAGACGTATTTAAAATATAACAATGATACTAGGTCATTTAGAGTTGCAATGAGCAAGCACTCATTTTGGGTAATAAAATGTCAAAATTGCTCACCTTTATGCCTTGATCACCTTTCTCACCCTGTGAAAAGACATGCAATAATGAACCTGAAATTCACTAAACCGTAAGCAGATACTGGGTGCATGTCATGCCACACCAAGAAAGCAATTTAGCAGCAGATATAAGGCTACTTAGAGCTAGTTGGTGGAGAAGGCGGGCTGTCTACCTTGGGTCCAGCTTGTCCTGGGGTACCTGGTTCTCCTTTAATGCCAGTTCCTGCAGCATTAGCATCGCCTTTTTCTCCCTGGCCATAAATAAAAATGTAGGAGTTAACCATGACTTGACTGATTCAAGATTCAAAGCACAGCTCTATTTAATGAAGGCGTAATAAACATTCTAGTGTAAGCATCTTGTTCCCATTTGCTTTTGAAGCATTAGAGTTAGCGTATTTAATTCACAACAGATGTGGTCCTTAAAAAATCATAGGGAGCGAGGATAAAGGTGTGGTCACATTAGATGAAATTATTTCAGACACCACAACAAATATGGACTACAGGATATGAGGCCACCTTGTAGGGCTTCTGTTTAGCAGAAACACGCATTTATTAATTTATCACAACTTTTAAAAATGTTAAAACAAACTGTCTTCCATTTGTTGCAACACTGTAAACCATGCAGATGTAATGATTGTTTGTATTTGCATGTGCATAGATGAAAACAAATGGAACACAAACAATAAATCTAGGTGTACAAACACCATTGAGTGCAGACATTCAGCTCACCACTTCACACGTCTTTCAGACATGCATGTATAATTAAAGTCAAATCAATGCAATTCACTCAAACTATAAAACATAAAAAAATAAAATGCTGCTATTTTTATTCAGCCTCTTTTTATTCCAAACCCAAATGGCTTTCTTTTTTTCTGTGGAACAAAAAAAAGCATTAAAGGCCTCCCCTCCCCTATTTGAAATAAAGCTGAAATAAAATAAAACTTAAACGAGCTTAACACTAAATAGAAACATATAATAAAATGGCACACAACAAAATGAAAATTAAAACTTTTTTCAAATTAAAAATATGATTTAACACTAAATTAACACTTACGAATAAGGTGCATAAGTTGTATGGTCACTTTTATGATGCTTTATTTTGTCATTTTGAAGCTTAACAAAATCATTAAACTCAAAAGAATAGCCAAAAATCGTAAAAAAATTATCATTGTGTTCCATGGGGAAAAAAACAGTCATTCAGGTTTGAAACTGCAAAAGGGGTGAGTAAAATTCACCCTCAATATTGTCAGAACAAGCACTTATGCAAGACATAACCACAGCGCACATTCAAGTGTACCTTGTAGCCCCGTTTTCCAGGGATACCAGAAATACCAGCCTGACCCTTCATAGTGACAGAAACATTTCTTTAAGAATTTCATATGCTCAACAAATGTGTTACAGATCCAGCCACACCAAACAAGGCCTTTACCTTTCGTCCAGGGACGCCTGGGAAACCAGGCTCTCCCTTAAGAGTGCAAGATGTCAACATTAGAAAATTAGAGAAAGAAAGAAAAGGAAAACAGTGAGAAAAGAGCGAAACACATCCTCAAATGCTGACCTTTGAAAATCAACATCATACTGTATATTTTGCCTGAAAAAGTCATTCTTAATTTCAACTGAAGATTATTTTCTGTAATTATTTAGCCAAACACTGTTTACATCTATCGTAAAGCCCCAATGGTCTATCTCTATCAGATGTCATAATCTCTATTGAAGCAATTAGAAAGCACATGCTGGAATCAATATTTAGATTTGTATGTCGAAGTTTGTGCTCTCCAGGCACGCATAGCTGATCACTAGCAGTGCCGCAATGAGCCACCCCCCTACAATTGGTTTGTTATTAATAGTAAAGAGCACATGACAGTTATTTAATTCATGTCTGTTATCTCAGACTAATGAGCAGACATGAAGGCAGTGATTTACAGACACAGCTGTGGCTGCATGAGGACACTCAACCCACTGGGGTCGAGGGTGACTGGGGGATCTGACTGCTTGTGGCACCATCAGTCTTTCTCCTGCCATCTCCCTCCTCAAGTCTCAGACGCCACTTTACAGTGTCAGAAGGTGAGACGGTTAGATGTGGCGTGCCTGTATAAGTAAGGGATAATGTACATCCAGCCGGTTGTTATCTCAGAATAAACCCCCGACAGAGTAAAGAAGACCCCGACGTGAAGCGGTCTTGCATCAGCCTGAAGGGGTTTATTCTGAGATAACAGCCGGCTGGATGTATATTATCCCGCTTATTAAACGGCTGCTTGCCAAGTAGGTAAATAATTAGACACGAAATATTGATCTGAGTTGAACTATTTTATTAGGTCTTTAAACGCAAAGCTTCCGCGGAGAGAGCAGTTGCTAGCGCGGCAAGTTCAAACTAGACGGACATTTAAGAGCTACGGTAAACAGTCATACCACTTATTACACAGCATTTCGACACATGAATAATTATGGAGATAAGAGATATTGATTTCAGATTAAACTGTTTTAAAATTGTACCTGTTTGTGTTTTATAATCCAACAGTGTACAAAACAACAGTCACAAAATGGCAGCAGCTGCGTTTGTATGAAACAAGAGAGAGCGAGTCCACGATACTGGATGGCATAATTTAAGAACTGTACACAAAATATTGATTTGACTGAGTTTTAATATTTTATTTGCTCACCAAATGCAAAACTTCCACGAAGAAAAACCGTTCCTAGCAAGCGTATAGCGCTGCTGACTTCAGTAACCCGGATGAGCCTGTGTTATCGGTTTTCAGCGTTTGTTATCTGGGAATAACATACCGCTGGATGGCGCGATTGACCAATCAGAATCGAGTATTCCACAGAGCCGTGTAATAATGAATTATTAATCGCCTTTGGTGTGAAAGCAGTTCTACATAAAATCATAACAGATAAGATTGAGCTCTCAAAGGAGCATTTTAGCAATGGAATGCTTCTGAAAGAGCATACAAGGTTCTGGGAAAAAAGGATAGTGCTTTGTAAAAGGCTGGGGATCATGGGTAAAAGGGAATGGGGTTAGATATAGGCTGCAGTAGAAGTGAACTACCTTCACTCCTTGTTTCCCAGGCATTCCAGGCATCCCTAGCTCACCCTGCAAAATCATCAACAATTACTCATCATTTCAATACTTAAGCAGTCGCACATTCACAAGCCAAAACCAAAGATTGCACTCATAACACAAGCAAAACACCACTGAAAGACTTTTGCTTCAGCAGATTGTTAGACATGATGACAAACCAGAATTGCCCAGCACATCTGCTCACCACTGTATTGCAAGTTGTGCTCTGTGTGCTGGCAGTGTTGGGACTTGTAACGTGTCAATTAGACACATTAATTAAGTAATGTTTTGGTAAATTGTCAACAGTGTAGTGAATCTAGCGATGCATGAAGCACACCTCACACAGAAGTCACTTTCAAACCAAGCAGCTTTCTGTTGGTCAAAGCGTGCGACCAAATTGAACCAGATGTGAAATCTGTGTTGGGAAATCTTTCGCCCTCAAGCGAAATACCTGATAGTGCAGATTTCGACTGCAATGACTATTTCAACAGTGAACAAGTGTAAAAGTGACCGTACCGTTACTTGTTAAATTTACACCAAAAACCTGAGATTTATGTTCTCAAAATGTCAAAATATTTCCAATGTATTTCTAATGTAAAAGATGACTGTAAGCCAAGAACTTCCACTGGAGGAAAGAGATTTTCAGTCAGCTGACAGTGAGAAAAAGTAAGGCAATATTAACACACCATTTTCCACCAAAAAGTAGCAAATTAACACAATTACTTTCTATAATAATTAAAGCAACATAGTAATGTGTTGCATTTAAAAGCAAAGTTTTCCCAACACAGTAAACCAGCAACACCGCACTGGTCAATCAGCTAGACAAAGCACACCTAATCAGCATAAACCGGCTTTGACCAGTATGGAAACCAAGCTGGATTCTTTAGTAGGTTTATCAAACACACAAACAAACAGGTAGATTAGTCAGTCCTCAATCATTACATTACACGGCAGTGCCACAAGGGAAGCATTTTACAACATGTCCAGAAAACAACGCATGACATTCGAAGACTGGCGGTCAGACAACAGGCAGTCGAGGGCAGAGGTCAAAGATGGCATGAAGACTCCAGTGAGTCTGAGCAGAGGGCAGATGGCAGAGCCTAGCTTGGCATAACCCGCTTTGACAGGTGCAGTGGTCAGACCTTGGAGAGGGTTGCAGGTTATCAAGAGAGACAGACGCCACGTGCGCATTTTGAGAGGGTATTAATGATCCAAGGCACTCTGGTCTGGTGTGCTTTTGGGCTTGAGACAAGACTGCTTGTCATACTCAGCTGCTTTCATAAACACCGTCCAATCAGGGACCAGAAAGGGCGGTTGGGTTTGGACAAGGCAGAGAGCCGTATGAGAGCTTATGCGTGTTCCCAGTAGATGAAAGAGTCCGGACTGCATGCACCCGTCCCGTTTAGGGAATGGAACGATGTAGTGATGGTTGATCACTTTAATCATGAAAGAGAAACTTCTTGGACCCCTGCTGAAAACAGGAAGTGACTTTGATCTTCTTCATTTCCAATCAACTCACACCATTCCATTAGGCCCTGCTGCCCATCGTCATGTCTCATTCTACCGCGTCTGCTTCTATTTTAGAGTGAGGAACACTTGGTGGGGCAGAGGCTAGTGTGTGGACTGACACAGGCTGCAAGTGATTTATGGGAGTGCTAATCTTCAGGCTAAAAATGATGAGGACGGAGCCTTTGGAGTTGAGGGGCACTCTGGGAAGGTGAAGAGAACAGTCATCAGCACTGAGAAGAAGTGGCTGCAATCTTTGCTGACAAACTTGATTCCTTCAGGACAGTTCATAATAAGTAATGACTTACTTTGGCTCCTATGAAATACGAGAGCTTGGTATACGTGCTTTGCCCAAGGTATAAAGGGAAGACGGGTGAAAGGAATTTCCAAAATAAACCTAATAATTTCCATTTATATATAGACATGCATCATGAACTGCTCAAGTTCTTTGAGACACAAAGAATGCTTGTTTGAAGAGAAAAACAATATTAAAAATTCAGTTATGACTTTTAAAGACACAGTGTGTGATTTTTGAGGCACTAGCAGCACCAAGCGTAATGGCAATCTGTTTGATTGAACATTCTGATTGGGTGTGGCAGACTCACGCCAGCCAATGACCTGAGTTTGGGACAGGACTGTCTGTTTTGCAGAACAATTCTTTTTTAATGTTCTTGTTTTATGTTGGATTTATGTTTAAACAATAAAAAAGTGCTCAGTACAACTTCATTTATGTAGTGCCTAAAAACCTAGTAAAAATCACTGTAATGCATGGCTTCTTCTGACTTATTGCTTTAATAGCCCTTGGGCTCTCTATTTTAGCAATCTCGGTCTGGAGGGGAGCGTGTAACTGAGAAGTTTTGAGAGCCAATGTCAAAGAGAAAGAAACAAAGCGGCTCTCATTTGATCTTGGAGGTCCACTTCACTGGGGGGTTCTTTAAATTCATGTCACGCCATCATCTCTTATTCCTACTTGACATAAGAGTCTAATGGCAGAGGGACAACACGCGTTACGTGGGTGTACATCTGTCTTTTACTCTGTGTGTGTGTGCACGTTTGATTGTTTCTGTAAATGTGTGTTCCATTTCTTCCAGTTGGAGGGAAATGCAGACAGTCTTTAGCAGCCTCACTTAATACAGATGAGGCTCACCCACTGTTGGCTGCAGGAGTAAAAGGAGTAAATTTAGCGTTTGCTTATCTCCTTTTTATCTCATAAATTTCCACTGGCTTTCATGACACAAAACCTAGTACTGCCTATTAATGAGAAAGACAGATGTTTTTGATGGAAGACAGCAGTTTCCCTACAAAAAGGAGATGTGTCGGTACGATAGAAAGTGATGGTACACATTGTTAATATAATACTAGTTCAAAGTTTGAACACACTGGTTTTAATCTCTTTCTCATTGTTATGCTAAAATGCTTGAAATGAGTTATCTAGACAAACATAATTTGTGCCAACATATGAAACTAACTTTTTTAAATTTTACTGTCATCATCATATTGCACGTGTGAACTACTTCGATACAGTTTGCAAAGTATCCCAGGATGCACCTCATGAAGTCAGTTGTGAGAATGAACATAGTGAGTAAAGCTGGAATCTAGACAAAGATTAAGTTCAAATATAGTTACAAGAAACAGTTTTGTTTAAGAATTTTGGTCACTTTTTATTTTGAATTGTATATAGGTTTGTCCAAAACTTTGATTATTACCATAGTACTATATTTATGTACACTAAACATAGTTATGTTCAAATGTTCTTAAATTGCTTAATACGTTTATGAAGCAAGGATACATTAATTGATCAAAAGTGTCAGTAAAGACATTTATAATGTTACTAAAGATTTCTATTTCAAATAAATGCTGTTCTTTTGAACTTTTTTGCTCATTAAAGAATCTCAACAAAAAAAAATTCACAACTTCCCAAAAAAATATCCTGCAAATAAATGTTTTTTTGTGCACCAAATCAGTATATCAGAACGATTTCTGAAGGATCATGTGACACTGAAGACTGGAATAATGATGCTGAAAATTCAGCTTTATCATCACAGGATATTAAAATAGAAATCAGTTACTTTAAATTGTAGTAATATTTCACAATATTACTGCTTTTACTGTATTATAAATGCTTCTTTAAAAAACATTTTGAATGATAGCCTATAATGTTATTTACATTTCAAGGTATTTCAAAGAATATCATGGAACTATTAGAACTACTACGTCCAATAAAACATGCAAGTACCACTTTCTGGTTCGTTTTTAATTTGTTACATACAGTGTTGTGTTAAGGAGCACAGTGTCAAAGGATATTCATATAGCAACTACACGTAAATCCCTCAATGATATATTCAAACAAGCAATAGCCCGGTCCCAAGCCTGCGACCTCAATCATATCCCAAACTCACGCAAAAAACTCTTTCTGCATTCAATTAGAGGCGCTGATCAAGTTGTATATGTATATAAATGTATAAAAAAATACTAAATATAGCACTGCAGCAGATGTGCTTATTCATCTGTCAGTTTCCCAGCTGGCACATCTTCTGAGTCTGATGATGAAAAGATTCATACTTAAACAGACCGCTCAAATAGAGAAACACAAAGCACTGTCATGACAACAGACCTAACAATCGAAGAGTATGGCAGCATGTGTTTGGCAGGGACAACGGCAGGTAGCAAAAATAAGTGTGCTAAGTCCATCAAGCTGTGTGTAACAGGGGACTCTCCACAAACAGCAGGTTTAGAAGCCTGTAAATCAGATGCACAGGTGATCAGATGAAGGAAGGAGGGAATGTCTCGAGCTAGCGGCCTGTTTTTCTCTTAGCGTGCAATCCCTCTGGTCTCCCAGCATGACTCCGGTACCGAGTCATATGTCTTTGTGCGCATCCTGGTTTCAGTTGCAAAGCATATGTCCTGCCCTCAGCCCTTGCGAGTCCTCACTTTAGTAACATAAGCTGGTGTCTACCAGTGGTGCACACGTCAGTGAAGGTGGATGACTTATAAGAATGTACATTTAGAAGAGACCCGAAAATGAATGAACGAACAGACCAGAATTTAAGACGTTGTTCACTAAAAACTTCCTGTCCACTTTAGTTCTCAATCTCAAGTCTCTTATATCGTGTTGCAAGTCTATATCCAAGAGGTTTGAGAACATTGCTGATCATGCAATGCCATGCGAATATCATGATATTCATACACACACCAAAAGTTAAATGCACTACAAACTACATTTCTCAGGCTCAGAGTACCTTCTCTCCTGTTTGCCCATCCGTCCCTCGTTCGCCCTACACAAATGCACAGATGGGAACATCTTCAGCAGATCAAAACAATCTGTACACCACAAATACACACAAACTCCTGGAAGCCAACTGGAGAACATATGCAGACATGGGATTGTGTAATCCCAAACAAAACCATGAGATGAGAAAGTGTTTTCTACTGGCACAATCCAAATAAAGAAGCCAGAAACGATAAATCAATAAGGATGATGATCTAAAGTAAGCCTCTGATCCTGTGAGCATCAGGACGTTTGACTATAGGGCTCTAGGGTGGTCCTGAGACAGACGTAGGGGGGAGCAGAGGATGTGCAGAGGAAATGAAAATTCCATCAAACTCAGGCTTGTAAAGGAGTTCGGTGGGACAGAGAGTTCACATAAGATGTCTAGCCTATGGAATCTGATGTTTAATTCTACTTGTTGCAAAAATCCAATAATTGCTGTCAACTATTATTTAATGTCCTTTAAAATATTAAGGGTAACACTTTACAATAAGGTTCATTATTTAACATTAGAATTAAAGTATTAGTATTATAGTTACATTGTATTAACTAACATGAACTAACAATGAGCAAAACATTTGTTACAGTATTTATTAATCTTTGTTAATGTTAGTGAATACAAATTCAGCTGTTCATTGTTTGTTCATGTTAGCTCACAGTGCACTAAATAATGTTAACAAATACAACCTTTGATTTTAATAACGTATTAGTAAATGTTGAAATTAATAAATTCTGAAGAAGTATTGTTCATTCATGTTAACAAAGGTAGTTAACTAATGCTAACTAATGAACCTTATTGTAAAATATCACCATATTAAGTTATCTAGGATACTCCTCGCCAATGAAATGCACATCAACAGTAAGGAAATGAAAACTAATCATCAGCCAGCTTGTCTATAATTGGCGAGTTCACTAGCTATCATTGAAAAATACATTTAAAAAAAGTAATAACTTAGGGGAAGGGAAGAGGTGGGTGAAATGAAACCAAAGTTTCTAAGCAGCTGTAAAATGTTCTTTGCATTCAGAATCAGAATAGGTCCAGATAAATTTCAGCCTAATAGTGATACCTCACGGAATGGCCTAATTTACACGTATTTTGTTTATTTTCAAATGAAAATATTTATTTTGATAAAAAAATTTCCACGCAGTATCTTGTATTTTATTTTGATCTATTAAATCCATCCATCTTCCAACTCATCCATCTTACGCAGATGAGTTCAGTGAGGCTGTCTATCACTGCTGGCTTTAGAGGACAACATTCAGCATTAAGCAGTTAGACAGTCTGGATAGCTGAATCCTGTAGGGACTATTTGTGTATCAGCAGGTGTAAACTTTACGTGCGTCCCACTCCTCTTTACAGGCCAAAACCTCCCCAGTGAGAAACAGTGTAATCACTCCAGCAGATGCATGTCTTCAGTAGGAGCAAATGCCTCAGACATGTGATACAGTTATACAAACATAAATCTTTAGATGTTTAGATTTACTCTCTATTCTCTATATTGCTCCTTCAAGATGCTTTAGCCGGGGGTGTCAAATCAGTTCATGGAGGGAAAGTTTAGCTTCAACCTTAATTAAATTCACAAATGAGACCTTACTGTAAAGTGTTTCCACTTTAATAAACCACAAAGATGATATGATAATCAAAACTGAATACAAATATAAGATTTGCATACACAGAACAACAACAACAACAACAACAACGAAATATGTAAAGGTGAAGTCAAGTGTGCAAATTATGTGTCACCACACGCAATTACAAGTTCGTCCGCCATTGGTTAAACAAACAGTTAGCCCCTCCCCCAATCCCATGTTATTGGTTGAGTCAATGTTGCCATGTTGAGCTGGTCGAAATCAAACAGATTAATGTTTTGATAGCACCATAAAGACAGTGTTTACACTTTATGGAGTTGATCAACTTACGAATTTTTTACTTACCGCTGAAAGTATTTCAACATTCAACATTATTTTAAAAAAATAGCAAGCAGAACCAAATGTGTTTCTTACCTTCAGTCCTTCGTCTCCTTTAATTCCCTAAAAAGAAACAAAGCAAATAAAGTGATCAATATGCTATGAAATGCAAAATAAACTTTTCCTCAGCCCAAAACAACTAATTTGCAACTAATTTACATCTATGACAGCAACAGGACAACAGTTTCAGTCCATGACATAATTTATCTAAACAACCAGTTCAGTCTCCTGTTTAGTGGAGGAATTATTTGAACAAACATTTCTTTTCTGTGCTATTCAATGGCGTATGGTTTGGCTGTGCTGAGTAAACAACTAAACAACCATGAAGGCGACAGACAGTAATTTTTCAGAAATAAAGTCTCGAGGGAGGAAGACAAAGTCCGCTGTTGATTAATGGCGTTGGTAATGTGCCGGATAACATGTCTCCTCTGATTTGAACCTTTTAATTGTAAAGCCATTGACTTGGCCCTTTGCCTCTCTCAAAGACGAATGTAAAGACATCTCTTTTCTGAATAGAAACGAGAGGCCTGACAGGAGACAACCTCACCACACAGGGTAGAATGCATTTTGAGCTGCCTTCATAAATCTTTGGTTTTCTGAGTTTTTATGAGCGCAACACTTGCCAGTATCCAGAAGGTGGTGCAGTTGTGCAAAATAACTGCTTCTCTGCAGTAGCACAAAACATTTCACCTGAGCTAAGTTTAAAAAAGTGAACATAAACGTGACAAACACAAAGCTACTTCAGTCTAACTCTAGAATAGAGGAATTTTCCATAAGCTCACTGTGTGACATGCTTACTATCAATCTAGCTTTAGATATTGACTGGGTGCGTGTGTTGGACATGAACTATGTGGCGGATGGAAGAAAGCTCAAGTTCACTAAGGTAGATTGGATGGGAATCGATATGCAGGTTGTTCCAGAGTTCCCACGGGTAAAAGCGAAACACAAATCCAAGATTGCGAACTATATAGGTTGTTTCAAAGCAAAGCAAATCCAATTTCACATGGAAAAAATTATATGTGGTTTTTGTGCCAACATGTATCCCTCACAAAGTGTCAATCAATGCACTTGTAACTTCACATAGGCTAAGCTGTTTGACCCACTGTTCTGTGCTATTCTGGAAACAAGTGTGGAAAGATTGATTGTGTGCACGCAAGTATTCAAGAAAGAAAAAAAAGACCAAAAGATAGTTTTCTCTACAATATATGGTTACATACTCAGCAAGTGTGCATTAAATTAATCAAAAGTGACAGTACGGACATTTGTAAAGTAACAAAATACTTCTATTTCAAATAAATTCTTATCTAAGAATCCTGAAAAAATGTATCACGGTTTCAAATAAAATATTAAGAAGCACTTAATAAAACTCTTTTTAGCATTGCTGATTATAATAAATGTTTCTAAAGGATCATGTGACACTGAAGACTGGAGTAATGGCTACTGAAAATTCAACTTTGCCATCACAGGAATAAATTGCATTTTAAAATATATTAAAATAGAAAACAGCTATTCTAAATTGTAAGTATATTTCACACTATTACTGTTTTTCCTATATTTAGGTTCAAATAAATCCAGCCTTTGTAAGAATAGGAGGCATTACACTAAGCCCCATCTACTATCTTGATTCAATCTTTCATTACCTCAGGGATAATGCACTCAATGACTTTAGAGTTAAGCACATTGCTGAAGGGGAAGACAGTAAAACCCCAAACAGATGCTGTTATCAGCCGATACTTTGTCTAAATCCTCTAGTGCTCCAATGGTATTTAAACTCAACCAATAAAGGTGCCGTCCCACTGCCTTAATCAAAACTATATGTTTTGGGTATCTGATGTCACACCTAATGACACTTTAAGATGAAATCCCACTCTCTTCTGTTGGAGGCCTGATTAAATAAAGCATGCAATTTGAATACGCCTTTCTCTGCACCCAAACTTCAAGACATGGATTGACAAAACAACAGGAATTAGACTCAAAGGGGGCTGTCAATCTGATGTATGGGATTATGTAATGGGTTGACCCAGAAGTGATGGGTGACCTGTGGAGCGGGTTAATTATTTAAGCTGCTTAAACCAGTCAAAGGTTACAGATTCTTACCTTGGGGCCTTCAGGTCCACTTGGACCTCCTTCACCACGATCACCCTGAGAGATAAGGAAAAAATCAGTTAGAGAAAAAAAGGCCATGCAGGAAGCAAATGGTAGAGTTCGACCAGATGAATTGTGTTCTTTCTAATCCACTAATATTTTATCCATGGTCTAGCATGACGTGCCAAGCTTCTTTCTCCAAGTTTCAAACTTTTCATCTAGCATAGCGATTAATAAGACTAACATTCAGGGCTCTGCCCTGCAACTTAGAGGTTTTCAATCACTCTGCCGAATGATTAATTGATACGTCATTCTGCTTAATTCCTGAAGGTTCCTCTGAGGAGGAGGATCCGTTTTGTTTAAGCAATCAGCATCTGCGCCAAATTTCTAGTTGATGTGGGATTTAAAAAATGGCTTTTCGGATAACACAAACAATAAATGTTTACTCGTGAACTTTGATGGACACACTCACCTTATGTCCAGGTACACCGGGTTCACCCTATAAAAATAATAAAAATAAAAAACAATCAAATATCCATCCAAGACCTATTTGCTCTGTGGCTTTTATCGAGAATTTGTTTAAAAGGGGCTATAAGCAGAATGGTATTCGTTTATTGGGAACTTGATGTCCAAAGCAGTAAGCCTCCAGTTACAGCTCTTATATAGACCGGCAGGCAATCTTTATAGAGAGCTGAAGTACGCTCCTATAAGGGACTAGTGCTTCTAAATGGAGCACAATTAATATTCCCCAGTATAAACTCAGTGGCAATTAACAGATCAGGGGAAATACATACTTATCCAACAGCAACACGGTTAATCAATTATGGCGTATCCACCCCTTCTGTACTGGCAAAGAGAGAGCGGACCCACCCTGTAGGCTGCTGAACTGTGTGTGAACTTCATGTGAGCCTGTTTATGGCTCGCCTGTGGAAAATACTATCATTGCTGTGCAGCTGGACAGCTGTGTGGTTTTCAAGCTTACCTTCAGCCCCGGTAGCATCTAAAATCAAAGAAAAAGAAACAACATTTCAGTTTGAAGCATTATAGATTTCTGATGTTGAGTATCCGTGCTAGGAAGGTAAGGATGACAATGCATGTATTCGAATACTCACCCTTGGGTCTTTTCCAGGTTTTCCAGGTTCTCCGGGTTTACCCTTTGCCAAAAAAAAGAGTAGGTAGATAGTTAAAATGCACACACACACACATTTTTATACTGTATAAACGGTATATTTGGTCACCTAAACCTACCAATCACAGAAAACTTTCTGTAAAACATCAAATAGTATGAGATAATAAAGTGAGATTTACCGGGGGCCCACTTGCACCATTTAGACCAGGAGTCCCCGAAGGCCCTGGGGGGCCAGGAGGTCCCGGTGGTCCTTGTGCTCCAGGCTCGCCCTGCTGAGAGACAGGAAGTTAGCATCTGAGATAAAGAAATCATTTGGATATAAAGTACAATTCATAACATCAGTGGCAGGATCCACTCCGATTCAAATCCAGTAATTCACAATAATGAGATATGAAATTAAAGAATTAACCAATTTGTTGATGGAATATTTACTCAAAATCTTTTATAAAATGTGATTTTGATTTTCTTTAAAAAAATATTTACAATAATTAAATGAAACAATGGATTTGAAGCTGAGAGGAACCCAAGTTTGAAGGTTAAGTTGAAAGTCAAAGTGTCAGGATGAGATGATTGATGTTATTGTAGTTTATAGAGTACCATGTTTGGAAAATAGTGGGGGGGAAATATTGGGAAAAAAGTTAGGAAATTTTTAGAATTTTCACGTAATGCTTTTAAGAACCTCTTCAGTGGCCCACTAACCATTAACTTATGTCTAAAACTTAACAAACCCTAAAATTTTGCTAGTGGCGTCATGAAACTTCTTCAGTCAGGTCTACATCAGTGTTTTTTTTTGAAGACGCTATTTAGAATTGGACATGAAGTGGGAACCCAAAATATTTTTTTGTTTAAAATTGAAACCTTGAATTTTATCCTCACTGTAAGTGAACTCAAATTCCATAAATTCCGGGTCATGTTTTTTTCTGGTGAGTTTGATTGGACACAGCCTTTTACGCAAAGAACAAAATATATGAGAAGATTTTTCTCCTCTCTTTGAAAGGTTGTTAAGCCTATTTATTTTATCAATTGCATTTAGCATAACTTTTTCCAGGTGTCCGCAATCCTACCGACCGACCAGTTGAAAACCACTGCTCTACACGATGCACTTATGGCTGTTTTAAAACTATCTCGGGTACTTCTCAGTTATGAGCAAGACGAGACCTTCAATACAAAAAGAGACTAAACAAAATCATCTACAGGAAAGTGTCCAGTATTTACATACCGAGAGGGATGTGAAAATAGGAAATAAGACTCGACTAAACAATATCTTACTCTTCCTGAGAAGAGACCATGAGGAAAACTGATTATGTAAGATTTCTGCTGTGTAATTAATTTTTAAAATGTCTGTTTTCAACATTAAAGAGGCTTAGTCTGCAAACGGAAAATTTGGTGTTAGAACTTTCAATTTTCCTTCCATTAAAAGCATTTATTTCCAAGTCTGCTACTATAGACAGAAAATTAAGACCTCCTACATACTGGCAACCGTGTACAAGACTGATTAACCACAAATAGAGCAGATACCGTGACAAAGAAAACCCTTTCTTTAACACGGTCTCTGTTCAGTAGCAAAGTCTGAAGCTCGAAGAAATCCGAAACGCATCCATCAGCTTCAGATCCATATTTTATCCATTTATTCCTTGACAGGACTTGTCGAGATTTGATTTATGAGGCCAGATGTAGATCCATTAAATGGAGACATTCCATGATCTCCATCCAATGCACAGACCCGACCCAACTCGGAGACCCATCCAATCAGCTGCAAAGATCTTTCCCTAACACTTTTTGAATTAATTTTGAATTCTTTCCCACACCTGTAGAATTAAGATGGAGGACGGGTGCCAACCGTGGTCAACCTGTGCCAGGGGCACTTCCTGGAGTGGGCAGTAAAAGCAGAGAGTGAGAAAGCCTCACTTTTCTGCTAAGCCGTCTCATTTTTGTGTTATCTTTTGATTGTCATTGTTTTTTAAACCTTCTGTTTGTTTTGTTATTAGCCCTGCTTACTGTTCTTAAGGAATCCGACGAGTCATTGTAGACTGACGAAGAATAAAATATATTCATTTTGAACTTTTAAACACCCCATGAAATGGCCTAACGAGTGTTTTTGTAAAAAAAAATTTAGAGCATCTGATTGGACAAACAAATTGGACACGCCTATGAGTGCAAGTTGATGTCATAAGATTTTGTTGGTCTATTTTCCTAAAAAAGACTGTTCATTTTAAATGCATATGTTCTGAAAGTCAGTTAGTAACACTCTACGATAATATGTCAACGTTAGTTAATGCAATATCTAAAATTAAATAAAGAATAATACTTTAATTTTGGTTAATTCCTACTTATATAAATACATTTTTAACAATTTGCATAAACTAACATTAGTTAACATGGGAACACTATTTTAATGTGTTAAATACATGTGCTAAATACATGTTAAATGTATTTACTATAGTACTAACAGTAAATTATGCATAATTACAAGAAACTATCACTAAAACAAAGCCTAAACCTGAACTAATTTACATAATTACACCGTAACCAGGACAAATGTGGCCTTTAATACATTATGAATATAATGAATGCTACAACATTTTTTTGTTTATTGTTCATGATACCTGATGCATTAACTAATACATGAACTGTAAATGTTACTGATTAAAACAGACATGGACTAAAAGACTCCATGTTAAATATTTAAAATATTAATCTTTTATATCCAAAATCAGCTCAAAAATACCTGAACGATCCTTAAACCCAACATTATCATAGGACTAGACATATGAGGACAATCCATTATGTATTAGATAATTTTATTGAGATAATGTCCAGTTAAAACAGATGGACATAGAAGACAGAGAGGGCCTGACAGAAGTTCTTGCTGTGGGGTAGAGTTTATACGCCTATAAATTTTGTGAATTGGACATTACTTTAGGAAAGAAGTGTATTTCAAGTGGACTATGTCATATCAAGACAATGAAACTATTGGCTAAGATAATTCAACCCCGGCTGTTTGTTTGAGCTTTGTTAATAAACTCAACACAGCTGGCACTAAGAGGCCTGGCTGGCAGTCGGTGGATAGAGGTTGGCATCCGTAAGGAAGGGGTGCGAGGGTGGCAGAGAGAGATGTACCTTGAGGCGCTTTAGGATTAGAGGGCTTATTGAGGGCATGTTGCGGACGGTGATGGGTAACATCTGCTGAGGTCACAAAGCACAGGTGGGCCACGGTGCACAAAACCACCAGGCCAACAAGTTCACCAGGAGGCCAAAGGAAGGAAACGGGCCAGAGATAGATGAGGAGGGGAAGGGGAAAAAACAGACAAACAAATGAAAAAGAAAGTGAACAGTAAGGAAAAAGCAAGGCAAGGGGATAGAGAGACAGAGCCAAAAGGATTCAGCATCACTGAACAGAGTCACAGGTCCATCAGAGTGGAGTACTGTAGGTTTGCCATTTATAAATTTATTATATAAACATTCTCACAATTATCAAATGAATATCTCAAATTAAACATAAAAGATAAAAGATTTATGTTTAGTAATATGCAGGTAAAAGACTGTAAACTATGCATTTGATTCGATTTTGATCATTTGTAGTTGACTGACAGCCCTATTAATTCACATATCAGACATTACCAATGATAATGTTTCATCTCCACTGTGACGGCACCTGTAACTCTGCAGCAATGCTGTGTAGATCAGGCTGGATTCAGTCTTGCCACAAAGAGAGTTTCGCAACAGACTTACTGTGGCCTGTCCTCCAGCACAGACGTTGACAATACGGCGTTTCTGTTGAGATCAGCATCATTCCAAAGCACAGATTGAAGAGTTATTGACTTATAGATTTACCACTGACAGTTGATATTACCCTAAATACAACTTGCCTTCTTGTGAGTTGCCTGTATTTCATATTTTTGCTTGGTGAATTACACATAAAAATGTACATCTTTAAAATTAGGTCACCTTTTCAATGAGGTCTCAGACTTTTGGACCTTACTGTACATGGAATATACACTACTGTTCAATAGTTTCAGGTCTGTATGCTCTTACGCTCACCAAGCCGGTGTTTATTTTAACAAAAATACAGTTTAAAAAAAACTATTTAAAATAACTGTTTTCTAATTTACAATATTTAAAAATGTAATTTAATCCTGTGATGTTAAAGGTAAATTTAAGAGTTTTGTCGCCTGTCAATTACATAATATCCGCGTTATCCCTGGTTTCCGCTTGTACTGCCATAACCATGGCGACAGACGTGGACAACTGCGGCACGCTCACGCTGTTGTTGTTTCGTTCAAACATTATGGACCATGGCAAGCAGACTTTGGGAAAAAAGGAGAACTAAAACGAGGGTCAATATCAGCGTGGCGTTTTCGAGATGCTGAAAGCTTCACATCCGCGACTAACTTCGACCTGACAGAGACGCCACTCTTGAACTTTATTAGACAGGTGAGCAAATGTACATAAAACGAATCAATGTTATATCTCTCAACATGATATGATCAGTATGTTATTCTAATGTTGATCTAGCTTACTGCTAGTCTCATACAGCCAACAAACTAACACATAGAATAACATTATATTTTCTAACACACTCAAATGCAGTTTAGTGTGATAGTGTAGACCAAGTGAAACAACGCTGCGTTACCTCACAAGCTTCATTCGTCAAATAAACTGACCTGTGTGAGCAGTAAGTAGTGAGTAGTTTGGTAGAATGAAATGTCCTTATTCCTTTATATCTGCAGGACCCGCGTGTGACGTTGATATCTGTCTCTCATTAGCAATCGCACCCTGCTTCATACCACAGTCATGTTAAAAAACATGAATGTTTTCACTCATCCACAAACATTATTAGATCCATCGGCACGACGGCAAGTTCCATAATTCCGCTTATGCGTCATCAACCTACGCCTTTGTTATTGTAAGAGGTTAGCGACCCCTAGCGGCGAAAACAATTACATATTGTAGCTTTAAAGCTGAATTGTCAGCATCATTACTCCAGTCTTCAGTGTTACATGATCCTTCAGAAATCATTCTAATATGCTGATTTGCTACTCAAGAAACATTTCTTGTTATTATTCTTCTTAAAGATTTTGTGGAAACAGTTGCACATTTTTTTCAGGATTCTTTGATGAATAGAATAGAACAGCATTTATCTAGAATAGAACAGCATTTATCTGAAATAGAAATCTTTTGTAACATAAATGTCATGTCATTTTTGATAAATTTAATGCATCCTTGAAAAAATCATACTGACCTCAAACTTCTGAACGTAGTGTACATATTCCAATATATAAACGTAATATATGAAAAAGCAATATACACAATCTATAATATCATATATATCAAAGCGCACTGATTGTCTCACTGAATTTCCGAGTAAGAGAAAAATACATACAAATAAGGAAGGCAAGTGTTTTCAAGTATCCTTATGTCCCTGCAGAAGGTTTTTCACCAATTTAACCAGAATGTTACATTGTGTTAAGGTACTCTATGCATTAGGAGGCCAATCAAAATATAAAAAACACATGGTATTTATGTATTTAACATATCCAAAAAACATTTGGATGCATTTTCGATGACATATAAAGTTACAGCTGCATAGTGTACCTTAAAATGATATACCACAACCATAAAAGTTCCTTGAGGAGGCCAAAGAAAAAGCAGGAAAACAGCTGTGTGTTAAAATGTGTCATTATAAATTCCTATAGAGTTTTCAATCAGTTATAATAACAGGCACCTCTCTGCACCTCCAACAGTGCATGTGGATAAACTAGAGTACAGTTTTCAGCTATGTCTCTCTTTGCAGCAGGACTGTAACACACACATCACGGTATTAGGGATGAGGGACAGCGAACAGCCCACAAACCTTCAACATCAGAGCCTGACTGGAGCGCAAAGCTGCCAGCGTTTTCATTGGGAGCCCCTGCTTAAAACGGCCCAACATACAAATACACGGACATGTATACGGATACATAAACACACACACACATTCAAGTGATAATACCCAATTTTGTTCCATCACTGAAGAGTGTATCCTTTCAGTCTAGCGCAGTGACCTTTGGGTTTAACCCTAACTGCAAATAACCTACAGTACTACAACCACCCAAAAAGACCTCCCTTATGTGCAGCTTTCTAAATAGTGCACGTGGCCTGGCTGACATGCATGAGAAATAACTGTTTTGATGTGATATACAGTTTCTGTATGGTATACTGACTACACTTACACAATAAAAGCAGCGATTAAATTCTTAGGAACAAATCTATCAACTGTACGTGTCCTGCTGCTGTTTCTGTGCTTTCTTTTTCAAGCAAAACACAGATTCAGTAGAAACATCTACTGCCAAGACTATTTTTCTGCTTCTATATTGCGTGTTGTTTTTGAGATTACATAATTGAAAAAATGGCTTCAAAAAGGCCCAAATTACTTTTAAATAGGCTAAGGCTGTTACCAAAACCCCTTTTAACAGAGAGTCTTATCAAATCTAATTCAGCAGGCTGTTGGTAAAATTGCTGTGTTTACAAGAAACTGTGATTTCCCCGAGAGAGGGCTGATCAAATTTGAGGCCCTGCCTTGGCATGTGCTGCCTATCTGAGACTATCCAAGCTGCCAATCCATTATTCCTTCCCTTTTCCCCTCTGTTAATGTCTCTAAATTAACCACAAAACATGTTGTACATGTCTTTTTAAGGGTAAACGAGAGAAATCACTTTGACAAACTGGAATGAAAACATATACTGGTGTTTTTTTTAACACCAGACAACCTTTTGAAGCATTTTTGGTAGCTTACGTAAACCATAAATGAAACATTCACAGTGTTTATGATATCACAAAAACAATAAGTTCAATAAAATATTCACTCACCCTGTGAGTGTAGTCACCACATACACCCTAGAATAAAAAAGAAAAACAAAGAAAAACAAAATCTATCATGTGTCGTCCTCACAAAATATAAGAAAATTAGCTGCTATTTTAATGCATTTTAAGCATGATTCTACCTTCTCTCCTTTTGGACCAGGTTCACCCTGAAAAATTAGATTTGAACAAAATAATTACAAATCCATCCAACATAATGCATGCATGGCATTCCACTGCCACATAAAAACTGTGGAATTATAATGATATATTAATATATTTAAGCAAATACTTACTGGTACTCCTTTAGGACCACGAGGACCCTGTGGAAATAATCACAATTACAATACGGAGATGTTACTGGATTATATTTTCCTGTTTACGACCAACGGTGTTCAGTCATAACATGCACAAACGAACAAAACAGTTCCTTATAAATTAATTTCTTATGTTGAAAAAGGAAATACAAAAAAGGCTAATTGCTAAAAACAAACACCATTTTAAGTGTTTTTACTAGGTTAGAAGTATCATTGTGTGTTTGTATGGAGAGCATCAGTGGCTGCTTTTAATAAATCAATGCCCCACAATTCATCATGCCCTCTGAAAAACATGTAACCCACAGCCTTAGAAATGACAGTTAGATTGATTCCAAGTCATAATATTCATTCAGAAATCAATTTCTGTAATACTTCCATATAAGGCTAAAAGCAAATGTGGAGTGAGAAGAAACTTATCAATGAAATTATATAAATATATACAATATATAGGCTACTATGTATTACTTTGAAAGCTCAGTGAGGCATGTTCAAAAGCTCAGCAGGGGCCGTTCAGCTCTGATGCTGTCTTAAAAAGGTGTCATTTCGGAAAAGTGCTTCTCTTTTATAGTTTTTAAGCTTGCCTTTTCTCACGATGCTATAAAAGAAGGAACATGGAGGTTGCACTATATTTCATAAGGAATGGTTTAAAGCCAAGGGGGTAATCCATCGACTGGAAGTTGAAGCCGGCCGGGTGCCACCATCTTGTAGCAGAACTTCACTTGCGTTAGCATTTCCATTGACTCACATTCATTTTGGCGTCACTTTGACAGCGAATAACTTTACATCTGAGGCGTTTAAAGACTCCATTTGTCCATTATTTATTTCTAAAGAAACACGACAATGTATAAAGGGCTCCCTTACCTTCTATGTTACATTATGGCCCCGTAGAAACAGTTTTTGCAAAAATAGGCTAACGATTGCGTCATAACCACTCGACTCTCTGTCGCGCTGTACAGAAATTACCGTACAGACAGGAGGAGAAGCTCGCAGGCAATCGGGGGGACGTCCCGTCAAGAGAGAAGCCCATAGATAATGAGTCCATAAAAGCAACGGAATACTTACTCCTGCTCACTCACGCCAAAGAACTCTTTGCTCAAGTTCCCCGTCTCTGCAAGATTAACGTTGGCAATTTTCACGCACAGCTACTAGAAGATTTACGTCTGTCAGACAGGTTGCTCACGTCATCAAGCTTAGTTTGAGTCGGTTTGAGTCTGCGCGTCAGGAACGGAAGTGCTCAAAAATCGCTAAAAAGGGCTTCAACTGTCTCAACTGAGTTCCAATGAGATGGCTCTGTCCACTTCTTATATTGTCTATGTTTAAAGCGCACAGCCTGGGAGCCTAAACTATCTGCCCATTGTCTTTCATCACGAAAAAGAAAACTGTTGACTACATTTTTCAAGTCGCAGTTTAAGAGGACAGAGCCAACCCAATGTCCTTGTTTTAATACCACAGGCGGCTAAATACTTAAAGTTACTTTTGACAAACCCCACTGAATGAAATGTGGTCTATCATCTCTTTCTCTCACCTCACACACACACACACACACACACACACACACACACACACACACACACACACACACACACACACACGCCATTCAGTCACTCTACCCATAAATCAAACTACAAGAGTGTTGTTCTTGTGAATTTATATGGTCATGCTTACAGCCTAGATAAACATCAGTGTAACAAGCCATCTTGAAAACAAATGGCTCTACTGGTGAGTTTTATGGACACTGACAAATTTTTCTTTATGATATGTTTTACTTCTTTACATATTTCTCTTTATGACGAATGGTTTTTATTCCAGCGGTATTTCACCAGTAAAAGTGAACATGACAGATCTCATTATGTGTCCCTTTCAACTAAAAGTATTTATATTTATATTTTAACACTTCAATTAATTCCAGCCAAGGTGTGTTTTCTTAGGATCACATTTATAGGGAATTGTTTTTGCACTGCAATGGTAGGTTAAATGGTTACAAAAGATACTTACCATATCACCTTTTGGACCATTCTGTCCCTGTAAGGTTGGGGGAAAAAGGCAAAGGCAAAATATCCATTCTCTTTAGTCTTTCAGGTAGCACAAATTACTTCATTCTTTGTACACATATCATAATTGATTTCTGTCATGATGGCGACAGTAGTGAATTTATTATGATAATTGGCATAATTATTATTACCATAATTATCCACTTCATTGCCAAAATGACCGTCAATTATCAATTACTGCCAAATAATTTGGTGCAAGGGTTCGGAGGTTCCAAACATGCATGAGTGTCAATTACTCAAACATTTGTAAGGAATGAAGCGAAACTCACAGGTTTCCCGTCCAAGCCGATGGGGCCCTGGAAAAGAAGTGGGAGAACAGCAGGTTGGCGATATTATGAAGGCACAAAACAGCTCCAATTCTTCTGTCTAGACAAGCTAATATGACAATGTTTATTATTTAAAAAAAACTATTGCCTTGAAAGTCAAGGTAAAACACTAACCAGACACACTGAGGGTACTGTATTTTAACAACGTGTCCTGCTGAACAGTGATCATGCAGGGTAATAAACACCTGAAAAGGGCCTTTAATATCCAGAGGAGGTAGACAGCCTATAGAAAGGGTTCTAGGACATTCATATACCTTACAGTGCTTATATGACAGCTGCACAAGCCTACTGTACATTTAGTCGCACTTCCTTGAGTCATTTCCATGTGCATCAATTAAAGAAGGGGTCAAGGCAACCAGTAGCTAATTGGTGGCTTTTATAAACTCAAAAAATAAACTAGAGGTTTGTCCAGTTGGCTTCAGACAAAAGTCACTTACCGGAAAGCCTGGAAATCCTCTAGTACCGGGCTGTCCCTGAGGGGAGACAGAAAGAAAAAAGATAAGCAGTTATTTTCTATACGAAAAACATGAGGATTATGTGAACTCGATGAAAGGAGGTCTGTGTTGAGAGACGGAGTATTGTTCCTCCAAACTTGTGTCGTAATTGAGGTTGAAGGACAGGAGCCTTCCTGCTCTGTAGGAAGCACTTTGTGTGGGATGAGGAGACAAAGACAAATAAAGCTCTAAAAACTGTGGGACACTGACTGAAATTCAACACTGGAAAGAACTAACTGGAAAACATTAGAGTTGTCCTTATTTAATTTGTCTTATTGGCTCTCACATTCTGAATAAGTAAATGTCAGTAATCATTAGTTCTACATTATCCTGTGAACAATACTAAGTTTGCTTTCCTGAATAAACTTTTGCAGCCCTTGGGAAAAAAGGAAGTCATTCAATATGCCTGGCAAAAAAAAAGACCGCGTTGGAGCAACCTGAGAGAAAATTACAAGGAAGAGGTGAACGGAGCTAATGAAGGGGATTGAGTGTCTGGGTCTCAGGTAGTTATTGGAACATGGCTGATTTTCTCTGCCTTGGGAACCTAAAGGTCTGGAATAATGGAAGTAGCAGCATGTGCCCCCTCGGGATCACCCAAAACAGGACTGACAACATTCATTTTGTTGGCACAAAAATGTAACAAAAAGTAATAGAAAACAATTGAATACAAGTCCAGTCCAGCCAAAAAAAAATCCTCTAGTCTAAACCAAAAATCCACTATGGACGCAATCCATAACATTCTTCAGGAGTGATACAACATACATTTTCTGACCGCAATCTAATCTCGGAATTATACCGAGATTAAATATCACTTTTCAGTCGTTTTCAGGACAGACACAATTTTTCAAAGTGTACTTTGAACAAAATATTACAAACACAAAGACACATAAGACAGGGGTTTTCAAACTGGGGTCCAGTGGTACTAAGGAATCTACAAAAGGGATTTTGAAAAAAATTATTTGTTTTCAAAGTAACAATGTTACCTATATTACAATGTTACCACAGAGACTTCAGATGCCCCAACACCTGCGATGAGACGACTCGACGCCTGTGAAGAGACGACTCAACGCCGGCGATATGTTATGCCCTAAATTAATACATGATGATTGACTAACTATATTCTTCTATGTACATTTCTGAAATGCACTTTCTGTAAAGCTGCTTTGAAACAATATGTATTGTGAAAAGCGCTATACAAATAAATTTGAATTGAATTGAATTATATATATATATATATATATATATATATATATAATTAATGTAATTAATTGACCTTCCAAAGACCGATATCATGAAATCATAAGAATAATTACATTTATTGAATTGTTTTGATAGCCTCAGTTTTTATCAGTAAGAAATAAAAAGTATTTCTTCTTTCCTTTTGTGTATTCGAGAATAGCTTGTATTTATGTTGCATCTTTATAACTTTCAAAAACCTTGGCCCTGACCTGATCAGCTAAGACAATAACTGTAAATGTAATGAAAACTCAACACATCATCTAATGATCTCTCTGTTTACTCCATTACTGTTCAACTTATGTGTGAGAAAGAAACTATCAGGTCTACCTGCCTGGCAAAAGCAGTCATTTCCGCTGGCCTCTCCACACTTCTGCCTCAAATCAACCTCTGTGACCCTTTTGGAGGTGAGGACAAAGCCTATGCTTTCAGAACAACTGCTGAAGACATTCCCTTTGAGGCAGCCCTGCAATGAAACTTCACCTGTCACCAGTTCTCTATGCCTGATGTCCACTCCTGACCGCCTTATTAGAGGTGATGGGTCAGAGGTATAGAAAAAGTGTATAATCAGCAAGCAGAAAAACAGATGTCTGAACAGTCTGACGGCCCTGCCATAAGAGTGTGTTGGATGAATGGGGAAACCACAGGACAAAGTTTTGCACGGCATAATCAACAAGGAAATTGCGCTTCTGACGGCGTAACATTACAGTTTTGTCTTGCTGAATGGAATGCAAAGAAAGGGAAAGAGTGCCAGTTTGGGGACAAGCCCCATTTCGCCTGATGACTGACCACTCATTAACAGATACAGCACAATCTGCACGTCTAATGACTGGATTATAATGACAAGGGCCGGGATGTTTTCGTTCCTTCTTGCTAATGAAGATGAGATTCCAAATGGGCGTCATTACGTGGGAGTCACAGCCCCGAAATACACTGATGAAGTGTAAGTGCTTCCATACAAGCTGCAGTGGGATTCCTGTCCTGTTCGTGCACATTAGAGATCAAGTCTTGATTAGACGAGATTCATTGGATTTTCTCCACATACAGTAGTGTGCTAGATGACGTTGATCCTGCTTATCTAGCCTAGACCATATATTTATCGAACTCACTTTGGGGTGGTCTGTAAGTTAAGTGGGGAAAGAAAAACAATAGACCACCCCCTTGCCAAGAACTCTTGGAATCATAGGATTGAGGCCAAAAGCTAAAATCTGCACCTATAACCTGTACCTACTCTGGAGGATCTGACATTAGAGGAAGATGTTGAAGAGTTTAAGCAATGACAGAGCAAACACTTACAGGAGGTCCTCGTGGGCCAATGATAGACAGACCTGGCTCTCCTGGCGCTCCCTACGGACAGATAAGAGAGGTAGAAAGACAGTGAGGAGAGGAAGTGACAGAAAAGAGAAAGAATGATATCCACTAAACTACACCGAGTGCACAAAGCCAAATGTATCAGTGAATATATTGTATCTGCAGAATAGAATAACCCTTTCTGAAACACCCTATAACATCTGTTTAACATAACTCTTTCGCTAAGCCGCCTCACGGAGAGCGCTTGCATGTGGCTCAGAGGTGAACACCGTATATTGGTCTAAGTAAAATGTCAGCAGACCCTGGTTCTTATTTCAGAGTTGTAGTTTACATCTTGACAGCGAATTGAGAGGGTCAGGGAGCACTGCTGAGTAAACAGCAAACGGCCCGGCGGGCTGGTTATCTGGCGTAAACTAGGTGATTTGCACGGTGTCTGCCTGTCCACAGCACTGCACCAAACATCCAAGCGCAATCCCGCTACGCTCTGTGGTCAGACAGAAAAGCTCTCAGGTTTCCAGCACTTTCCCTAATTAGCTCTCACATGTGAAACTTTATCAGGAAGACACCTTTGATGACTCAGCCATCCATCAAATTGTGGACAATTTTTAATTTTTCTGGTTCAATGCCCACTTTATCAGGGGACTAAGGAGTATTTGTTTTAGCACTTTTTTGAGTCACCTACAAAGGTCACTAGAGAGTGAAAGGGGTGACATACAAAACTGATTTTCAGGTTGTGGAAAAGGAAAGGACTCCTAAGCTTTGCCCCACAAGGTTTATGGTTACCCACAGAATCTTGCAGAGATCTGTGCAACAGGACAACTGAAGATCTAGAGATATTCCTTTGAACAGGCTTACATTACAAGCATTTGGCAGCTAGGAATGGGTACTGGACAAAGAGTCCAAATATATTCAGCCAAAGCGGGAGCAAATTCTGCTGATATTTAAGAATTGGTCTTACTAATGAATGATACGATCTTCACAGATTTCATTTCGTTCAACAAGTAATCCTTTCTGTCTAAAGAATACATTGTCTCAAGTTCTGCAGTTCTTGCAAAGTTCAACCAATCAATCACCGATTCGCCTGATTTTCATTTGGCTTGAGCTTTCCAACGCAACCACTTATGATTCAACTGAATTTATTTGCTTGAGGACTGAAGCGCTAAGGCTGCCAGTTTCAGGGCTAGTGTGCCCATTTATCTTGAGGGGGTTTGTTTTGATAACCAATGACGTGAAGTTCTTCACCCAAAATTTGTTGGGTCAAGACTTATTCTGGCTGGAAGGTAAAACATGACCGCACTTAAAAAGAGGGGATAAAAGTAAACCCCTGAAACAACAAGGGAAGCCCACTGATTTTTCTGGATGAGAATGTGGTGGGTCTTTCCAAGGTCGTATATTGTTTGCTTCTCTACTTGCCGGCCCGGTGGTCACATCACTATTTATTTCCCATCCAAGTTCTTTAGAACCACAGTGTTTTGCTGGCAAGCGAGGGTAACCATCCAGAAGTTTCACTACTTTTCTGTGATGGTGAAGGATGAAGAATATGTTTCTCCTCACATTACTTGTTCGGCCTCAGACATTACATATCATTCCAGCTTGATGAAGGGAGGCCACAGAACTGCTGGCTTGTACAAACACTGAGCAAAGCTGCCAAATGGGACTGGCTTAAGAATGGCTCAAACCACATTTGCCACAACAGGAACTGAAGCTCAATGTACTAAATTCAGTCTAGAGTGCTCAGTCATACCAAATACAGACTTGAAGAGACTTCTAGTGACTACACAACATTTGGATAGTTTTGGACGTGTCCTGAAGTGGTAGGATATTGTACGCTGCTTCATTCCAAACATCTCTTTGTCTAGATTGGGGGGTCTTACAACTTCACAGTGCTACAAGAATAAACAGGTAATCCAAGCATTGTGGGACACGTCTTCCGAATGTGACCCCCATGGCCCTTCAAAATACAGCCTGAAGCCTTCCTGATATAAATCACGATCCCTGTGCACTTTGTGCAATGGATTCAGGTCGTCCCCCCCCCCCACCCGCATCAACACAGCCACCCACAGTGAGAGAGTCTCAATTTTGCACATGCAGGCTGACGTCCTGCACTTACCTTCTCCCCCAGGTTTCCCTTTAAGCCCTGGTCAGTCACAGCAGACACAGTCACATGCACAGTGAGAAGGAGAGAGACAGAGAGGAACCAGGGTTAGCAAGGTTCTGAGAGGACACAGGCATGCAGCAGCCTGAGACGGAGCGTTTGGAGGTTGGGGAATGGGACACACTGACGTACTGGAGCATTTTTGGTTGTTGAGGGGTGGAGGCTACAGGGGAACGGAAGCACTGGAGTGTTACACTGCTGGCCTGTGGGGAGTAATGGATAGTAGATGAGGGGGCTGCTAACTTTTCTCACAGACAGACTGGTCAGTGGAGGATGTTGGAGGGGGGAAGGATAAGTCATGAAGAGTGAAAAAAACGCTTCCTGTGAGAATCTAAAGGAGCACAATGTAGCTTTACACTGGGTGAAATATGGAAAACTCAGCTTGGGGCTCACAGTTTGAGCTGAACGCTGCTGACTGCTTTTAGGTAGGGATTGTTTTTCAAGAGAAAGCATTAGGGTGAGCTTAGAGTATGCAACCACACAAGGGGCAAGATTCTGGAATGTCTCCTTTGAGGACAATGCAGTTTTATCTGTTTCTTAGTGAAAATGTTTAAGGAAGAGTAGCTGCTACGCTCCAGGGGGACATCTATATGACTATGTGGTTTTTGGATGACCCTTAATTCTGTTGCGACACATCATGAATTGTGCTAATCTGAAAAATGGCCAATTCTAAATGCACAAATCTTATGAATGAGGAGGTAAAATAGAGCTCACAACTGTCTGTGGGTTTCAAATCTGTTTCTCTCTCTTTGAATATATCTATATTGTCTCTCTGTGGATATATATACAGCACTTTTTTTCCAAGATCTCCTCTAGGTTTGGCTGCAAATTTTACCTTCTCAGCACGTAGAGTGTAACTGACAAGAAAAAAGTCCTTTTTTGAGGTCTATTTTCTATTTAAAGTTCAACAAATAAATCATTTTTACATGACTGAGCAGCCAAGACAAACTGAGCAATAAGGAGAGAGATTTTCTCATCAAATGCAGCCAGAAAGAACTCTGTTCTTCAGCCCTTGTTCAAATGTGACGGAAATATTTCAGACATCTCAGTAAGACATTTCCTTAACTATCAATGGTGGCAATGAAGTGGAAACCATTTTCTGGCTGAATAAATAAGATATAGTTTTTGGTTTATGTCATATAGTTGCGCTGAAAAGCTACATTAAACATTTGGAAGAAATTCATGTGAAAGTTTGTGAATGCTTACATTCACAGTGCAAGCTAAAACAGGTCAAAACAAATTAGGAAGTGATAATCAATTATACTGGATGTTGTATATGACATACAGTACTTTAGCAATTAAAGCAAACATTAATATTGTCCAATCGGACCTGATATAATCAGTATGGCCTTTGGCATAAATTCCTGGTGTCAAAGCAAAGGTGCTGTAAAGTTACTGTAGCTACAAATGTTTAGCTTTAAATAATGGCATGCTACTGAGCATTGATGATCAATTATTCAAGACTACAGCAATATACTACAGACTAGCTTGTTGGGCTTAGTGCATATCAAATCACTCACCATTCTTCCAGGAATGCCCATTGATCCTTTGTCTCCCTAGTGGTCAATGCAAAGTCAAGAGGAAAATCAGGAACAATAAATCTGACAGACTGAATCTCTACAATCTGCAGTTACTACCACTACCGCTAGAGACTAAATTACATTCAGCCACATATTCAAGTGGTATGGTTACAGAGAGTTAGAAATGTTAAGCTGACCAGTGTGGCGCCAACTTAATGTCTATATTACTAAACATTCACCTACTGGTAAATTGAAAGCTGATGATGCACGCATGCCAAAGACTTCTTCAAAATCTAAAAGTTAACTACTTAAGAATTTGAAATGAACGTGTAGCAGACAGACATCAAGCGTCATCAGTGATTACATGATCCCAATGAAAGCATGGAGTTAATGAAGCAAATATTTGTTTTAGGGCCATTTCACAGTGCTTGCATTAGACAATGTTTGCTAGCTGACCATATCACAGATGATGAAGTGACTGAAAAAGTGTGGGAGCATGACAGTTTGTTTCCTTTTGAAAGGGTTTAGGAATAGTTCACCTAAAAATTAAAATCATGTCATCATTTATTCATCGGTATGTCACTTTAAACCCGCATGACTTCCTTTCTTCCACTAAAAAAAACGTGGATTTCCATGCTTCATTCCATGCAATAACAATGCACAGAAACTGAAGCCATCACGCTTTAAAAAGTATGCAAAAGCACCATAAAGGTATCATGATCAATGGAATCAACAATAGAATGTTCTCCTTTTAAGTTCCATTGAAATCCATACGGGTTTAAAACAACATGAGTCCTAAATGATGACAGAATTAGAAAAATTTGGGGGTGAAATGTGTTTAACAACTATGAACTATGAAAACAACCCATCCTATCAGAACATATGGGAAATGAGATCCTAATAATAAACGGTCATAAGGATTCACCATTTGTAGTCCTGGACTAATACTTTTCCAAATATTTTACACTATGTAACATGGCCATAAACTCCTGCAATGTTGAAGTGACTTATTATGCAAGGCTGTCCATTCCTACAGCTGTTTTTATTTGCATTCCTGACGTTGCAGGTCAGTGTATTAGAAGGGCTGGGTGCGTTGACAGCTTGCTGACGACTCACTCGAGTAACACGTAATGGAAGGGGGGGATGGGCGATGGGGCGAGTTGGCTAAGACTTCATAACTCATCAGAAGTCAACAAAACATTTGCTCAAACAATGACTGAGCACATGGACTGTAGCTTTGCAGGTGCCTAGTTTTTAAAGTTTTAAAGCTGTTAAGATAAAGGTTCCTAGAAATGTCCATTCAGTTGGACCTTCAGAATTAATTTGCTGCCTGCCACTGAATGTCCCAAGAGGAAAGTCACTTGACTGAATTCTCTTGGCTCTGTCCAAGGTGCTGATTTGAGATAAACTTAATACAGCTTTATGGCATTAGTTAGTAAAACTTTGAACTGCTAGTATAACTTATTTAAGTATAACTTATTTAATAACTGTAGATAGATATATCTAGAGCTTTAAAGTAGCTAGAAGTAGCTTGAAGTACAATACAAAGTCCAGACTTATCCAAATGAGCCCCAAAGTCCTTAACTACAAATCAGAAGTGTTAAATAGCCATATATACATGTGAATGTGCAGCAAAGCTTAAATATACAAACCACAAGTATCCCCTAATAGTTCAACAGAGCGTGAAAGCCAATATCAATATTTTTTTGAAGTACTAATCTAATGGACACATTTTGTGTAAAACACTTGCCCCTTCCTACCCCTATTCTACCCTTCATCCAAAAATACTAATTTTCATCTCATTTCCTGACGATGCAATCAATCAAAAGCTTTGGCAAGGGATCACATTCACACTTTGACCAGACCTGTCAACAATTTAAACAAAACGTATACAAAAAAGATTTTATGGCAAAGTTTCACAAGAAGAGCTGTCATGAGTGATGGGGGTTTGTAGGTTATAATTGGCAGGTAGGACTAGAGTTCACACACAATAAGATGGACTTCTTCTAACATGCTATAATGAAAGACAGATGTGTTTGAGTTTTGGTTAGTAATATTAGAATTTCAGCAGAAATTCAGAACAGTGGATCTAGACAGACACCAAAGGGCCAGAGAGAATACAATCATGTATAAAATACAATATGCTATAACTTGAAGGAAAAGAGACTCGTCCACGAAGCCAAGCCAAGAGACTCATTACATTAAGTCTAGCTTAGCTTATCTGGTTTAGGGCAATGCTCAGTGGGGTCCAAAAGTCTGAGACCAGGGTGCACTACTTTGGAGTCATTCCTAATTTGATCCTTTTTCTACATTACAAATTATTTTACAAGCATAACAATGGAGTGCACACGTTTATGTACAACCTGATGATCTTGTTTTCCAGCATGATTTGAGAATGATCTAAAGAACATCTTAAACTTCAGTGGAAGCAAGATCAAACCATTTATAAATTCATATTCAAATCATATTTAGTCATATAAATTCCTAGATTTAGTCATACATTGTAGGCTTTTTCACTCCATTGTATATTGGCAAAATTAAGAATTTAAGAAAATAAGCTAAATACTCTCAACGTAATACATTGGTTGTATATTCTCAGTCCCTTGGTTAAAGTGTGTCCTAATAAAGAAACTGTATATGACATGCTTTTCAAGAATATGCAACATAAATCATTTGGTATTTTTCTTTTTGTGGTTGAATTGTTTCGATACAGCTTCTTAAAACTCAGACACTACCACAGAAAGGTAAAGTGCACGAAAACCAAACAAGACAGATGGACAGACAATAGGACACGTTATGAGACAGTTACCGGAAAGCCTGCTCGTCCAGGTGGACCCTGAAAAAGGGGTGAGAGAAATGGGTACAGAATAAAGAAAGAACCAGTCAACATTACTGATTAAGAAGAACACAACACCCTGCCAAGCCATAATAAAATTCAGTGTGCTTTTACAATGATGTTGATTTCAATATTGAATAATGAAAACAATTTTTTTTTTAGGAACTCTGTGATCCAGCATTAAATTTCATTGTGGCAAGGCTCAAAGGTAGCAGCAGGAAAACACTCCAAAGAAGCATTCCACAAATGCAGACACCATCAAATGCTTTTACAACATAATTTTCTTTGGACCCCAGAAAATCTTTTTTAATATAATGACATGTTTCTTTTTATTAAATGGCTTTTAACTTTTAAAAAGATTTTTTTTAAAAATCTATATTTTTTTCCAGTAAAAATACACATTCTTAAAACAAGAATTTAATCCAGAAGAAACAAACATTGTATAAGTTATTAAAACTGTTTTTCAAAGAATAAATCTTAAATTAAGTTTAATTTTATAACCCCACTGGTGTTTTTTAAACATCTCTAATTATAAATGTAGTGATGTTTATGCTTAAAAGAATAATAAAAAAAACATGCCAATGAGATAAAAATATATATAATATTGTCTGTATAATAATTAAAAAATTCAATAATATTTCCTGAAAATAAGTCTAATTATCTCACAATTTTCCTCTGTAAAATATCTTAAGCGTGTAAAAGAACTGGAAAAGAAGACAAAATACTGATTTTCTTCATTGTAAGTCAATTCAGTTCATGTCATCACTAATCATGATTGATAATTGAGTAAGATCATTTCAGTGTATTTAATAAGTATTTAGTGCTAGTATGAACAATGAATAGTACCACTTGTCTGATTAAAAAAAGATGTTCATTTGGGGGCCCAAGCATGCATAAGAAACAGTTTCACAGATGAGAATCCTTTATATCATGCTTGACTTCAGAGTCAATTGAGGAGATCGCTCTGGTTTAAATCAAATCAAATACGTTTACTTCATTCACTGTGAGCTATTCCACTGTGGATTTTTTTTTTAAATTTGTCATTACAGAGGTTTAGTGGTAAAAACCTGACAGCTGTTTGATCATTCAAAGAAAGTTCCTTTATGTTAAGACTACCGTGACGCTCTTCATTATATGATGATGCATTTATAGTTTATTTCATGAGCCTGTGGAACTGCATACACTGTGTGTGTGTGTGTGTGTGTGTGTGTGTGTGTGTGTGTGTGTGTGTGTGTGTGTGTGTGTGTGTGTGTGTGTGTGTGTGTGTGTGTGTGTTGGATTTCCTCTTGGACTACAGTGTGGAGAGGGAAGCCATCTATCAAGCCTCAGCCCCGGGGAGGAAACTATTGCAGACGGACAAAAACATCCGTGGCACTGTCTTCTGTCTGTACACTTTGATTTGACCATACACCTTTCAAATATTAAAAAATAAACTTCATTAAAAAAAGTAACACATTTTTTGTGTGTTGTTTTATGTATGCAAACATAATTGAAAAACTACCTTTTTGGGTAACACTTTATTTTAAGGTGCTTGTAATAAGCAGTAATTAACAGTTAATAAGACACTTATAAGACCTTATAAGACACTTATAAGACCTTATAAGATGCATATAAGCATTAACTACTTCATATAAGGGTTAATTAAAGGTCCAGGCCCTGAAGAGATCAGGGAAACTACTCCCTCTTGGGAAGGTCAATTTTTAAGGGCCTGGGAGTTTGTGTTACCATTTATGTTTGTTCGGCTGTTCTAAAAGTGCAATGTATTGATACTTGAGAAATTTATTATTTAATTTAATTTATTTATTATCGTTAGTTAATGCTTATATGCATCTTATATGCATCTTATAAGGTCTTATAAGTGTCTTATTAACTGTTAATTACTGCTTATTACAAGCACCTTAAAATAAAGTGTTACCCTTTTTTGTTACACACAGCATCTATCAGAAATTTTTCAGTGAATATATAGTTTGTTTGTACAGTATAAAAACCATTATGTCTATATAAAAGTCCCCATAAAACATGGAAACCTGTGTGTGTGTGTGTCCATGTGTGTGTGTGTGCATGTGTGTGTGTGTGCGTGTGTGTGTGTGTGTGTGTGTGCACCATTCAAAGTAAGATTTTTTTAATATTTAGGATTTTTAAAGAAACGAATACTTTTATTTAGCAAGGATGAATGGAATTGATCCAAAGTGACATAACAAACATTTCAAACAAATTCTGTTCTTTTGAACTTACTATTCATCAAATAATTCAGATTTTTTATCAAATAAATTCAGCCTATTAAAAGTTTATAGGCAGAAACATTTAAAAATTGTACAGACCCCAAACATTTGAAAGGTAGTGTATATGAAACACATTAAAACACGTTTATTTGACAGCTCCAGGGTTTCTTTCAGGTTTTCCCCTCCGTTTGGCCTAACACTTTGTTCATGGTCATCCAGTTTGAAATGTTGATTACAAATACGTTGGGAGTGGCTTTTGACGGCAACATGCACAGTGCATTATTGGTGTTGAAATTTTCCTAATATTTGCCAAAAAGGGGAAGACAACAGCACTTTTTTCTTCAAGTTTTCTTCAGTCAGGTAGCACCGATTTCATAAATAATTTTCGCCTTTCTACTGCATAGGCAGATAAGTTTTATTGAAACCCCATTTTGCCAGCAGTGAAGTATCCCTTTAAAGAGCCCAAAAAGCAAAAACACTATTATTTTGTATTTATGTAACTGGGCAATCACAAAAATCCTGCTCTCTTTTAATCTAATTTGTATCACGGCTGAAGTTTGTGGGAAACAATGAAAGACCACTAATAGGATCTATAGGTTCAAAGGTCATGGGCACACATGTAAGGAATATGGGACCTGGACGCAGCTGGAAGGTGTTTATAAGCGGCGGCGTGTAGAGAGAGGAACAGATCTCTGCTGAATGTAGCTGCCATTAGGAGTGTGTATAGTGGTCTATGCTGCGTACGAGTGAGCAAGCTTACATGTGGCGTGTATATATGAACGTGTTGAAGTATGCATAGCAGGTCTAAGGTGCAGACCCAGGTGGTGAGTGGGAGCAGGCCACTGTGGCCTGCTGGGCACTGCTCAGGCCGGCCCAGAGGAGCGTCTGGCGAGGTCAGAGGTCACCCACCGGAAGAACACTTCATTTGAGATCCACGGTAGCAGGGTACATGTGGCTCTCATTTAACCCACAGCGCTGCTGGGTAAATGAAGGGGCACCCCAGAGGAAAACGGGGGCGACCGCTTCCCTAGAGCCCAACATTTCATGGATAAGAGATATTCACCGGACAAATCATCAAATACATCACCAGGGAAAACTAATTTAATTATGCTGTTCTTTTAAACCAAAGCAGCATAAAGTATTGTGGTATTTTACATCACAATACTGTTTCGATATCATCATGCCAAGAATTTATATATTTAGTTTTGATATTATTTTTGAAGAGACTTACTAACCCAGGTCAGAATATGCCTACTTCCCTACTATATACAGTAGTAGATAAAAAAAAAAACAGTATGAGGAAAGAGTATGACTGAATTTGTAGTATTCATAAAACAGTAGGCAGAAAGTACACAGATGTACTACTTCCGCCGAGATTACAAAGTGCATATTTGATGAACACGTAACTAACCTGTGAGGCCACTGGAGAGGATTTGTAAAAAGCAGTAAAGCAACGCATTGACACCGTAAGTCACATGACAATGTCGACATGGTGAATGTAGTATGTTTGAATTACATTCATACTACAATACAATACATACTACAATACTAACATACTTTTTTTTAATGATTGCAAGGTAATTAATTGTACAAAAGTAGTATCTACTCAGAGAGTGATTTCGGACGCATTATTGTGGAGGTCAATGCATGCTTGATTCTTTTAAACAAACACAAACACACTCACCTAAGAATATAATTGATATTATATCCATATATAAAGTCCAATGCAGGTGAATGACAAACAAATGTGTTAAAGGGACAGTTCACTCAAAAATGAAAATTCTGTCATTAATTACTTAAATTTGGAATAAATTGCATTTGGATTAGTTTTACAATCTCTTTATGAACTTTTTGAAGCGTCAAAGCGGTAGTTGCGTATCTGTCAATGGAGAGACAGAAAGCTCTCAGATTTCATCAAAAAGATCTCCATTTGTGTTCCAAAGATGAATGAAAGTCGAGAACGACATGAGGGTGAGTAATTAATGACAGACTTTATATTTTTGGGTGAACTATCCCTTTAAGGGTTGCAAATTCACAATTTACATTAACCATACATGATATAATACTGTATCACAAGGTCCCTGCTGATTCCCACCCCTATTTTCAAGTGTTTCACCTCTAATGTTCAGCATGTGCTTGACATGACCATTGCAAAGTTCCACAGGAGTTTTCAACACACTAACGAAGGTGCTTTCTGTCAATGTAAAATGTTTCGTGTCACTACTAATTGTTTAAGGCTGGGTTGGGCCAGCCGTGCCTTCAAAAGTGGGCAAAGGGCTATGCTCCTGTGAGGTGACCTGTGAAGAACCCCTGAGACTATTATGTATTTAAACATTTAGTATTCACTTTCAGCGCACAGGAAAAGGCCAATTTGGTGAAGTTTACAGTTGCCATCACATCAGTAAGAGTGTTGTCTTAGTGTTCTTGTTGGATAATCTGCAGTATATACTCTTCTAAGAATTTCCATAGGTCCGTGTAACAGGATGGCCCTCTATAGGGCCATTGATCAGGGACCAGGCTTGGCAAACTCCCTTTACTGAAAACAAACACTGTAGTTAAAGACATACTGACACTGATTGCCAATAGATCACCAAACTTGTTTAAAGAAGACTGACTTGATTAAAAGAATTCACTAACTATATCTAAACATTCTTACTTGACAACAGTAGAAATATCAACTTAATGTTTAAGTCTGTGTGCATTGTTTGACAGTACTTTCACCTGCCTTTCAGTTGTTTTCAATTTAACTTCAATTTATGGGTTATACGAGCAGGTGTT